AGCGTAGGAACGAAGGGATAATGCCCCAGAGAGGAGAGAGAAGAAAAGGAAAGCCATTTTCCTCCTATCAGGCCCGGTGTGAGAAACCACATTAACAATCCTAACCACAATAATAAGCATTTCCTAAACTCCCGCTCTGCGGTAAGAGCTTTACACACATTACCTCATTTAATCTTAGTCTTAATCAGTATCTCATTTAATCTGTAATTGTCAGTCTGATCTTACAGAACAACAGGAAGGAAGGACAACTGGGGCGGAGGGACACCGAGCCCGAGAGTGGCGTGGGGTCAGAAAGTGCCATCTCACAGCCTCTGCTCCCAGGGGCGGGCTACCCAGTGCAGGGGCCTCCGGTGACTTGTGTTCCGAGTGGGAAGGATGAACTTCGAGGTCCCAGAGAGCTGCTGTTTGAGGCAGTGAGTTCCTCATTGCAGGGGGTATCCAAGCTGGTCTCTTCTGATACAAAATGTCCAAACCATTTTTTTTTTTTTTATTCTTCCCAAAGCATTTACTCATACTCTTCATCCTGTGTTTTGTCACGAGGTGGGGTAGGGCAGCTATTCTTGGAAACCCAGGCACTGGAGAGAAGGTAGGGCGCCAAGGTTCCAGGGCCTGGAGGCAGGCTGTTTAGGCTTCTATTTGCCCATGTGCACCCAGCCCTTGAAGGAACACAAGGCCATGTGGTACATCAGAGGGGGTACTCGCGTCTGGAGCCCTGACCAGGTTCTGTCACTGACCTGCTACAAGACCTTAGTTAAGTCCTTTCCTTTTCTTGGGTCCCGGTTTCCCTACCTGTAAAATAGCAGAATTAGAGGGGCTGTGTGACCACTGACGTCTCTGGGCTCTTAGGGGTTCGGTTTCAGGCATCTGTGTCCAGACTCAGCCTCTCTCCATCAGGTCCCAGCCTGGCTTGGAACAGACACTCAGTGGTCCCCTGGGCAATGCTAGTGAATGAATGAATGAATGAATGAACGAATGAACAATTGCCTGGGTGGATAGTTAACGTCAGCCATCACTCTGATGTCAGTGAGAACTCGTCAGTGCTTACTTTCTGAGTGAAGACGGAGGGCTGCCCAGCGTGTCCTGCACAGGACTGGGGCACAGGTGACCTGGAGTCCTTGCAGGGTGGTGCATTTAAGATAATCATTTTTGACAACTGGCAATAGTGGGTCTTACACAAGGGGTGTCTGTATCAACCAGTCGGGAACAGACAGAGATCTCAGCCTGGGGCAACACAGTGTTCTCGCCTTTGGGGATTTGGGGGAAAGAGACAGTTTGGAAAATCCTCCTGTTTACTAAGAAGACTATGAAGGTGCTATGGGCAGCAGCCCTTAAGAGTGAAATGGAAACGACACACTCATGTAAGCAATTACACATACACACGCACGCACACACATACCCTGGATCTGCACATGTGATATGTACCCAGAACTTACTAAAGCAAAACTGATTTTGGCTTAGAGAGATTTGATTTTATGCTAAACAAATTTCATCAGGATTTTCATATGAAGAGTCTATTCCTCCCCAAATGTGCCCTGCTCGGCTGCATGCTAATGTGGTCAAATCCAATCTCTGAGTTCTCTGCAGGCCCCGTGACTGGGTTCTCAGGACTCGGCTCCTGGCTGCTGGCTGAGCCTGGGGGAAGCAGTTGCTGTCCTGAGTGGCTTCCGGGACTGGGCTTCTCTCCTTGGAGCGCAGAGCATAAAGGAACAAAAACAAAGGGTCGGTGTCAGGCAGGAGACTGTGCCCATGAAGAACGAGGGCCAGAGAGACCCACGGGGTCCTGGAAACTTGGTCAGTGGCACAAAGAACCCCTTGCAGTCCCCCCATCAGTTCCCAGCAATTCACAGAAGCAATTCATCCATCATGCACTGAGTACTTATGGGGGCATCGGGTCCTTGGGCAGGCTACCATCCTTCCCTGTCTCTAGAACGTCCAGGGAGCAGGGCACTGGGACTTAACAAATACACATACGAGACATCCAGTTAAATTTAAGCTTCTGATAAACAATGAATGCTTTTTAATGTAAGGCTGTCCCAGGTGAGCCCAGGCCCGTCCAGATAGAGACGTGGGCACGGCTCGAGCCTTGCTGGCACCCACAGTGGGTAAAGCTATCTCCCGGAGAGTGGATTCAAATGCACACCCTGATCTTGCACTTTTGAAGACTGAACTGGAAAACCTGCTTTCCTGTCTGCAATTGGAGGCATGTCCATTGCACTGGGTTCTCTTTCCTGGCCTCTCAGCAGAGAGGGAGAGCCGAAAAAGGTCAGGGCAAGAATTACTGTGATTAATGGGTGGGAAAGCAGCATTTATTTGGAATGGTGAACGGAGCTGAGACCTTCCCAGGATGGGAGTGTGGGTTATCGCAGTGATGGGGCTGGGGGTGGGGGCTGGTCTGACAGTTATTAAACAATTGTCATGGGGAGGAGCTTAACTTTGCAAGAGCTGGGCACGGCTACTGTCTCCAGCTGAGCCAGTGAAAGTGAGCCGAACACGGGGGTCTCTGTCCCCAGAGGCTAAGGAAGCCCCTCACTACCTGTCTTGAGACCTCTATCTTTTCCAGCTCCTTCTTTCTAGCTCCAGCCTGGCATGCCCTGTGCCTTCGCCAAGGCTGCCTCCTCTTCCTACAACATCCCGCTCTCCAGCTGGACAAGGCTAAGTCCTATCTGCCCTTCCAAGTTTTGCTCCAGGGCCATCTACTTCAGCCGGTGTTATGGGCTGACCTGTGTCTCACCAAAATCCCTATGCTGAAGTCCTGTTCCCCAGTACTTCCGAATGTGACAATTTGGGGAGATAACATCTTTAGAGAGGTAAGTAAGGTAAAATGAGGTCATTAGGATGGACCCTAATCCAACATGGCTGGTATCTTTATGAGAAGAGATTAGTGTGCACACACACATGCGCACACACACGCGCACACACACACACACACACAGATCCATGTGAGGACACAGGGAGAGACAGAGCCATCTACAAGCCACGGAGAGAGGCCTCAGGAGAAACCAACCTTGCTGACCTTGATCTTTAACTTCCAGGCTCCAGAACCGAAAAATCTTTGTGTTTAAGCTCCCCAGCCTATGGTACTTTGTTCTGGAAGCCTGAGCAGACTACTACAGCCACAATATCGCCTAGGTCCTCCCTAAGGCATGGGATGTCTCTCTTTTAGCCCTTCCACCCCTAGTCACATTTGTTTGCACAGATATCTTATCCCCAAGACTCCAACAAGACCTGACCCCCACCCCTCCCTTTTCCTAGTGATGTGGGCAAGCAAAAGGCAGCGTCCAGGAAATATTTGTCAAGTGAATGCGCCCAAGACAGCCTTTGGGCCAGCAGACCTTTCAGCCTTAGGTAAATGCTATGGATGGTGTTTGAAACATGACAGCACGCCCAGCCTTGATATTTATGACTTGCTTCTTGACCTTCCTGGGGAGTGGCGCTCTCCACTCTTCAATTTATGGCCCTTCCGTGCAGCCCCAGACTGACGAGGGGATTGCAAATGGGGCGTCTGCTAAGAGGCATGCAGACAGTGCTGGAGGCGGTGTGATCCTTGGCCCTGGGGTCAGACACAGGCCCTTCTCACCCAGGGAGGGGGGCAGTGGACCTGAGAAGCACCTCATCCTCTGTCTTGCCCTTTGCAAAGACCTCAAAGTTTACAGATAGCTCACTGTTTGCTAACCATCCCTCACTCACTATCTTTGACATAGCTGCATACCACCTGTCCGTTCTGAAGATTTATCTTTAAATTGACTCACTGCCCCTGGAGGCCAGGCGACCCAGGCCATAAGACATCAAAGTCCATTTTCTTGCCATTCCCAGCCCTGAGCTACGCTGAATGGGGACACTCATCAGGGCCTCTGCAGGGCTTGCAGAAATATGGAAAGGATTGTGTTCCCTGGAGGGAAAAATCTCAGGGAGGGGAGTTGCTAAGGAGATTTGCAACCCGTGCACCCGCTTGTTTTCACTGAAGAGGCAGGTGAATTGCCTTTCAAGGAGCTCTGAAAGTCTGGGGGTGGAGAGAAGGCATTGGAATCGGGTGATGCCTTCAGTGCCCAACAACAGGACTGAGAGTGACTGGTGCCTTGGAAGGCACTGGAATTCCTCAGAGGGGCTCAGCTGACTCCCTACCTGCCATCTTCTCGGATGGAGAGCACAAGTCACGTAGCAGCCCGAATTTTCCCAGGAGGAGCTCCAGCTCCACATCAACATGTGGACGGGGGTCCTTGACCCTCATGAAAGGTCAGGCCCTGGGAAAAGCCTGCCAAGCCCAAGTCTTCTCTGGGGCACAGAGATAGGGTAGGCACACCTCGGCAGCGTGCCTCTCCCTCACCCCCAGGCTGACTTCCCTATGCTTGCCAGAGGACTCACGTTCACGTCCTGTCAGCCACGTTAGCCGGGCCTCCTGAGCATAGCCCCTCGCTCCCCACGAACCTTGTCTGGCGGGCAAGCCTGCAGGAAAGCCAGATTCCAGAGAGGGAGGCAGGAGGGCCTGAGAAACACTCTGAGGGTGGGCTGTGCTTCCCTGAGGCCTTCCTGCCTTTCTAGGTATGGGATGCGAACACCTGAGTGGAAAAGGGTGGTGATCTTACACTCACGAGCCCTCTTCCATTTTGAAAACAGTCGTTTTAATAAAATAAAGACAATCCAATATTTCCCATTAGCTTCCAGCAAGTGACCCAATTTTTTTCAGTGTAATAAGCCCTTTGAAAAGGTGAGTCTTGTGAGTTCGTGGGCAGCTTGTGAGTGAGTCACAGTTTCCAGATCGCTGCTCCCAGGCTCCCAGGTGCTCTTCTCCTTCTTATGGAGTGTGTCCTTGGGCAACCCAAGGCCAAAGTCGCATGGGCCATGGAGTGGCTCGGGGTGTGCAGCTCTGATGGCCAGCAGCCCCTTCCTCAGGCGAGAGTCTTCTGTGCCCCAGGCACCGCGACAGCCTCCCTTTGCTGGTGCTGCTGCCGCCACTCAGGGCACCTGCCGCTCACTCCACCTGACCTCCACTGTCTTTCTTCCTACCCTTCTGCAGACCAGCAGAATATTCTCCCCTTCTCATCGCCGACCAGGAGTTTGGTCTGGTTTCTTGGGAAGAGAAGGAACAGACAGGAGTGTTAGAGCCAAGCCTGTGGGTCCCACTCATCCCAGCTGGCACTCAGGACGCTGCGACATGGCGGGTTCGGCCCAGGACCCCGTGGGGCCTGCACCTGACCTCCACCTGAGGCAGGGGTGGGGGCTGGGAGAATTGGAGAATGCTTTGACCCCGAAGAGGGGGAACTTCTGAGCTCTGAGGGTTGTGGCACCCCTCATGAGTATGGGGGGACTCCCCAAGATGCCCAGGCTCCTGGCAGCAGGGTGAGGCCCTGACTTTTCTCTCCAGCATCTCCAAGTGTGCCTTTTGTCCTGTGAAGAGACAGTCTGGCCCCCTTACAAACGAATGGCAAGTTTTCCAGCAGAGTTCGGGCTCCGGACTCTCCGGCCCCCTTTTCCCATGTCCTACACTAGCCCACTTCATTTCAGCCTGGCTTCTGGAACACTGTGTGGTTCCCACCACCACAGACCCTGAGCCAGCAACTGCAGGGCAGTGGGGGAGGAAGGGAAGGGCCTCTCCAAGGCCCGCGGCCTCCGGAGACTCCACTTCCTAGTGTGCGCAATGGGTTGATGACAGAAAGGACCACTTACCTCCATTGGGTAATTATGAAGAATCAAATAATGTCTATCAAGTGTAGTGGCTGACACTTGGCTATTCTACACTGGCTTAGAGCTCTCAAAAGGCGCTTTTTTTTTTTTTTAATGTACGATACTCATCACACCAAATGTTAGCATCGGTAGCGGGCCTCAGGAAAACAGTGCCTCCCCAGCATGAAGTTACAAAGCTATACCCTTTTACATTTCTCTATGAATCCACGGGTATTTGAAAGAGAGAGAGAGCACGAACATGGGTGTGTTAAAAAACATTTCCTAGGGCCCTACGTGGGCTCCTCATTTGCCTCTTGTGCAAGGTGGGCCCTCCCTGGTGCCTACGTTAGTGAGGCGACTTTCCAGGGCCAGGCCACCTGAGCCCTGAGCTGCTGGAGGCCCGAAGGAGCCAGGCCTTGGTTACCTGGACACGGCTAGGGCTGTCACCGCAGGGCTGGTCTTGCTGGGCTTCCCTGTCAAAGCAAGGCTGACATCCAGCTCTCGACAGAGGGCAAGATTCTTCTCCCACCTGTGACCTGTGGGGATCGTGCGAGAGAACGATTAGGAAACCCATGCATGCACGTGGATGTCCACGGGCAGAGCCACAAACACATACACACATATTTATATTTGTGGTCAGCAACTTGTTAAATTGAGGGGAAAATATATTTAATCTTGGCCTGTGCCGTTGCAAAAAGGGCCGTCCCAATTTAATTTGCAGGCTGTGATAGTTACATGTGCTGACGGGCTGCGGTATCCATTGTGTACCAAATTGGATTTGTGTATTATTGCTTTCTAAATTGCATGCCTAGTTCAGCAAAATTGTTCATCAGTGTTTACTGGCTTTATGCTTAATAAGATGCCCCACAATACCTTGCTGCCAGGATGTAACGCAGCCCGTAATTGCCTAGTAAAAATAAATTACATAAAGTCGGCATTATCAACTTATCTAAATCCTCTCACGCCACAACCAATAATTAAATGCTGAGAACGTTTTTTCAAAAAATATAACTCAATGATTGTTACTTCACTCATTTTAATGACTGCATTTGGGGGCAGACAGTAATTCCTTCAACATGGAGGGCGAGAGGGAGAGACATCAGCTGGGTACATCCCTGCGAAGTCACTCAGAGTCAGGGCAGGAACGACATAGCTGTCCCAGCTGTCCCAGGGTGGCCTCCTACGTGCGCGGAGAGGCCTGTGCACCGGGAAATGCGTGCACATTTTGTGTGTGTGCAAAAGGCCACACTACAAGCCTTCCCGGAGCCCTTTGTGTGTCCCAGGTCGAGTCCAAGTCTACGAGGTGATTCCTAAAATACGTTGTGCTCTGACTGGGTTGGTCCTTGTTTCAAATGACAAATAAATGAATTCCGGGCCGAAATTAGATTATGTCTGTACACAAACGAGGCATCCTCAATATCTCCAAAGCTTTCTTTTCTTGCCCCTTAAGACATCTGAGGGATATAGCAACGTGCACACCAACAGGACACAGGTACAAACATCCACGTGCCATGCCTGATTCTGTCACCTTCCAGCAAAACGGGTTTGAGCAATATTCGGAGAACAACGAGACCTCCACAGGCTGAGGTTTGTAAGCCTGCAAATGGATTTTCTATTTCTACACCGTGGTCCAGCCTGATTTTCACGAATACATCCATGTGCTCATGCCATTTCACCTGAATCCTCCCTTAAACTGTAATCACAACCCTGGCACTTGTTTTCTATTTGGTGGTGGTGACCTCAGACAGGTCGGGACAAACGGCAGGGGAAGGATGTGGACCCAGGCGTGATGGGGCTGCTGCCAGCCTGAAACAGTCTTGTGAGCTCCGTAATGTCATCAGCCGGTATATGAAGGAAGAAGGCTCTTACCAGCCTATAAAAATGATAAGAACATCCTGCATTTTGCCTGCATTTTGTTGAGCAGATTCTTGTCTATGTCTGTTATTTTTCATGTTAGGTACTTCCTGCACATCCTGACATGTCAGGGGCAGGGGAACCGAGGGACAGAGTAATTGTTGGGCATAGAACTAAGTCTAGAGCCCTGCCTCTTGCTTTTCATGTCACTTCTCATTTCTTTGGACCCCATTCCCAATGAGTACAATCTCAGCACAACTGTTGACCCTGAACACAAACCCATGAATGCACTGGCACTTCCAGAACCAGTGGAAGGTCTTTGAGGTGCTCTTCATTCATCGGTCTTTCCATCCATCCAGCATTCTTGTTCAGACATCCATTTATCAACCTTTGCCTCATGGGACCTCCATAGCTTCAGAAATGGGCAGTGGAGCCAAGGACTGAACTGGCATGCTTTCATGCAGGTGTACCACAGAATTGTTCATAATCAGGCTGGGGAATAGGATTTTATGCTAGCTCTCTTCCAACTGGGTGGGAGAAATAGGGGAGAAAGTCTGGCCCCCGTTCTTCAAAGAAGTGTTGTGAGTTTTTTTAGAATGTTCAAACCCCACACATCTTTCTTTTTACCCTGAGATGGGGTGATTCCTTGGAGTCCCAAAGGACCCTCAAGGTACTAGGCACAATGAAGTGAATGTGGTTGTAGATCCTTCTGAGGTCACTGCTTTGGGTCTGCCCACATTATTGACAAGGGTGCCCAGATGGTGTTATTTTGAAGGAAGGGATTCTCAGTGTAGAGCCTGGGACCCAATAAGGGCTGATCAGATGTCTGTGCATGTTTGTGTGACGAAAGAACAATAAATGGATGATTAAATGAATCAGGAAGGTGTGGAGTATATTCTAGAAAGGAACTAACTGAAGATGGCTACTCTTTTTAGAAGGCAGCCCTTAGCACTCTAATAAATTCTGTCCCGTGAATGATCATGGGTCTTGGGATACGAGTAAACCAGAACTCATGATGACAGGAGAAGTCACACTTCATGGTAACATGTTTCCTTTCATCATGGGCGGCACCAAGAAAAATGTCTCGGTTCTGGGCCAAAATCTTTGATGAAGACGGAGCTGAGAAAGAAGGCCTGCTGCGCTGGAGGAGGTGATGGTTGGGGGCTATTGGGACAGCTGTGGTGGAAGAGAAGGAGGTGATGGCTTTGCTGGTGATCTTTGTGCCTGTGATCAGGGGTGGTGCTATTGTTGATGATGCATGGCAGTATCTGCGGTTGAGATTCACCTGGCAGTCTGAAGTTGGTCTGAGGTTGCTTATGTCCGCTCTGGGGACAGAAGTGAGAATGATGGTAATCCTACGCTTCTGGGTAACTCTGGGAAAGCTCCTAGGCCTCTGTGCTTCAATTTCCTAATCCTTCATATGGGTGGCATAGTAAAATCTATCTCACGGGGTTGTCGTGACAAATTAGAGAATACACGGCAAGTACGCACGATGGAGACTGCTCAGGGTCAGCCGTCTCCCTGCAAGCTGAGCAGTGGTGGCCATGGTGGTGATGGTACCAGAGGCCATGATGGCAGAATAGAGAACAGATTTTCTTACGTCAGCCCCATCTGCCACAAACCAAAGAGGGTTCCAGAACAGTCGTTCTTTTACCTTAGTACACACCACACTCACCTGGGGACCTGTTAGACATGGAAATCTAGCAACCCCCAATCTTTTGCCAGGGCTTAAGGTAAAAACAGGACCCAGATCTACATTTTTAATAAGGCTCCTGGGAATTGCGGATGTAGAGGACCTCCAGACCCACTCTGAGGAACTTGCCATGGGGAGTTGGGTGGACGGAGCCAGGATCACCAGGGCAGGCCGGGGCGCTATGGAACCACTTCCTCTCTCCAGGCATATGGCAAGGCCCCTCCTGGCCCCTCCTTTTCCCTTTCTGCAGCCTGGCTGTCCAGGCAAGTAGGCATTTGGACCCAGGCCCTGGGCTGGGAAGTTTGGCATTGAGGAGTCATCAGGCAGATGGAGAACATCAAACTAAGCTCTGTAAGGTTCTGAGGCTCAGAAGCCCCTGAAAACCGCCCCAACTGTTCACATGTCCAGGGAGCATCCCAGAGCTTGCTGGTCCCTGCATGATGGGGCCAGGATGCAACGGGACTACTCCACGCTGCTTCACGTTCTGCCGGCAGCTTGCAGTAAACTGTGCTCTGTCCCCCCAACTTGACAACATCCAGAGAGATTCCATGGCTTCCCTGGACTCCGTAGGACTGAATGGAGCTATGGGAGGGGAGGGGGGAGTGAAGACTGCAAGGCGAAGGCCCCACACCCTTAGCAGGGCAGGTACCTCTTGGGCTCAGAGGTTGAGCTGAGGGGTCCTCTGGTGCTACCAGCCCGGGAACAGATGTCTTCATGTCCTCAGTCTTCCAAATCTGTCCAGAAAAGAGAAAGGGCCGATGGCTGGGGAAATGATCCTGTCTGTGGCCTCGGGCCCATCCCATTCCCTCACATCCAACGGACCCTGAGGGAAGGGATGGGAATATGGTCCCCTTTCACTTCCAACACTAATGTATTCTTGGGGACAAAAAATTACTTAGGCTTCAGTAGAGCACCGTTGAAGCTTAGGTGGGTTTACTCTGCCCTCCTGTGACCATAGTGCCTCCGTCCTCAACCTCTCATCTGCAGGGATGAGACCCAGCAGCTAGTTTATGGTCATTTTACTTAGCTAATGCCCTTTCACCCTGCTGCCGCCATCCCTGGAGGCCTCCCTCACCACTTAGCAGCTAGGCCTTCCCATTCTCTGTGTCTGGCTCTTGGTCGCACGCCCTTCTATTAACGTCCTCATGCTGACTGCATATGGCTTCTCACTTGCTGAATCCAGATGTTATGTTGACAAAGGGCAAGGATCAGCCTACTCTTAATGATTTTTTGAACTCCACACCAGGCCTAACCCAGCCCTGGGCCATTCCAGGAGCTCAATTGCCATGTTGGATGAATGAGTGCTGCGTGCATGAAAGTCTCTCACTCATGACGTGGGGGCCCACAAAAAAAAAAATGCACCTGCTGCTTGGCCAGCCTGAGCTCCTCTGACTGACCCACAGTGTGAGTCACCCCACCAAGCCCAGGCCTCCCTGACCTACTCATGTTCTGGCTAGCCCAGGATGCCCTGCTCTCTGCAGAGACGATGTACCCCTCCTAGCCCACAAATGGGGCTTCTCAAGGGACCCTCCTCAGCCTTGTCTCTCCCACCCACACACAGTGACCTCTCAGCCTGCTTGGCCTCTCCATATGCTGTAACTTTTCTTCATTCTTGGGACTCAGCTATACTGCCATCTCCTCTCATGTCTCTCTGTTAGAAATAAATCCATACTCCCTTTGGACCCTCACCACATATTTATTCAGCAAGTATTATCTCCATGATTATTCTGAGCCTTGGGGCATGGACACCCATGCAAAGCAAGGCCAAGTTTTAGCCATGACGGCACTCAGCCAGCTTTCATAAACATTTGAAGCAATCAATGGACATTTTCTTGAATACATTATGGCCTTCAGTCAACATTTCCTTTAAACTGTGGAATTCAGTTGACAGTTTCTTAAGTGAGCCTCTGAATTATTCCTTATCTTTACTCATTCCTTCATCCCTCCTGTCAGTCTCAGAAAGCTTGCCTGTTCTTCCCAGGCTAATCCTCACACTTCAATGTTTCTGTTTCGTTCTCTTCCTGGTTTATTGATGCTTTCCCTCTCCATGGCTTTCCTCAGAGGGTCCATGGCACTCTTTGATTATCATGGTCATAGCATGCATTGCATACATGTATTTTCCGTTTGTATTCTCTTCTAGGATAAGATCAGCTGGAGGATAGTGGCCTATTATTAATTTCTGTGTTCCCTGTGGCTTCTATGATGAGTTTGGTACAGAGCCAGAGTTAGGGTGATGGACAGATAAAAAATATTTGGATGTATAGATGGATTCATGGGTAAATTGATAGGTATATGGAAGGATAGATCATTGTATAGGAGGAAAGGAATGGAGGAAGGAAGGAAAGGAGGAAGGGAGGGATGGAGAGACGGAAGGAGGAGGGAGGGAAGGAAGGAAGGAATGGTAGAGAGATAAATAGTTGGGTAGGTAGGTAGATGTATTATTGGATGGATAGATGAAAGGATGGATGAATGGATGAATAGGTATAGAGATAAATAGTTGGATGGATTAGTGGGTGAACAGATAGGTGGATGATGGATGGGCAAGTATGTGAATGGATCGCCCAAATATTTCTTTTCAGCACTGGGCTATGTTCTTACACATTTGACCGTTCAGCTTTCACACCTTGTGCTAATAAATGTTTATTTCATTTCATGAGTATATGTGTGTATACAATTATATACATAATTCTATCTATCTTCTATCTATCTATCTATCTATCTATCATCTATCTATCTATCTATCATCTATCTATCTACGTTTTGCCTGGAGAGAGCCTTGCCTTTGCCCTCACTTGCCATGAAGACCTAGTCTGGCATACCATTTGGTCTCAAATGCAGCCTATAAATTTGGGCTCTTGGAGGAAGTGAGAACAAAGACCACTTTCTTGTACTCATTCTGCCTTCATTCTGCCTTCATTCTGCCCAAGACACACCTACCCGAACCATGCCGTCTTGACTTCCAGTGATGATGACATGGTTTGTGTCCCATGCTGGCCCTTCCATCATGTAGCAGCAGGTTATGACTCCTTCAGGGCCCCAGGCTGTGGTGATGCTGGCCAGTGGCTGTCCGTTGACATTCCACAGAGACAAGTGGGCTCCCGCACAGGAGACAATGGTGCCCTGCAGCAATAAAAATTGATTTCACTCCATGCTGAGGTCACTGCCTGCCCATCCGCATTTGCTCAGCCAGAGTTTGCACACCCCAGCACCCTTAACCTGCTATCTTCTGAAGACTAACGAAGGTACTCCAAGACCTAAGACACCCACTTCTTATTAGATGGCTCATAGGTCTCTTGTGTTTTCACACAACTACAAATTCCTGGCTATTTGCATACTGCAGTCATGTGTTTGGATACTGCTTTCTCTGACACAAACTGGCTGACTTACCCTTTGGACTCCTTCCACAGCCTGGAGACTACCTCTGGCTCCAGACATGGGGCCTGGACAGGGCAGGCAGGCCAGCCCTGTCCCCATGAAGAAGATTTGGATATCACTTGGTAGAGGGCAGAGTACAGAGGTTTGAATGATTGTATATGGCTCAAAGAATTGACGATGTCTCTCTGAAGGGAATTTCTGAGGAGAAATGTCCCCATTGAACCTCTTGAAATGTTTATGTCTAGAGTTTTCTTCTCAAGTCCTTGTCAATATTATGGCCAATGGTATAGTGGTCACTGACACTGAGGACTCATAAAACCAGCTGGAGCCATGCCTTTGAGCCTTGCCCTAACCACAGAAAGGACGTAGGGAACTCAGTGCCCTTCCATAGCCCCCTGGGCTCCATCATACCTCTTTCTGAATTGTCTGGCTCTGTTAGAGTCTGCTTGAGGCTGAGGACCATGTCTGATACATCTCTGCCAAGCACCCAACCCTGAGCCCAGTAGGCACTTAGTGAATTCAGTTGGCTTCAGGACAAGTTGAATTCAACAAGTTGTTGGTCATGATATGTCTCCTCTGAGATCTGAGGACATTATTCTTTATAATGCTCTCTCAGATCAGGGCCTGGTGCCTTTCCCAACACATCCACCAATTTATCCATTCACTCACCATCCTCCCATCCATCCATCCATCCATCCACTCTCCATCTGCCCACTTACCTATCCGCCCATTAATCCACCCAAATATCCATCCAGCCACATACCTATTCATCCATCCATCCATCCATCCATCCTCTGTTCTGCTCATGTAAGATTCATCCTAGATTCAAGTTTACCTGGAACACCATGTTTGGCTAAAGTTGGGACGAGGAGCCTTCTTCATTATCTCCCCCTCTTTCTATTATCCCCTTGCCACTCTATCCATGCCCTGGACTCCTATGGTTTTCTGTGAGAAGATGCAGAGCCTTTGAATCCTCACGGAACCCCATGCCCTATGATGAGGATTCCAGCCTGGGAGAAATTCCACACTGAGATTTAGATATATAGTTCTCTAACTCTTTCTGTTCTCTCTGTCTTGGTCTCTATCTGTCTGTCTCTGTTTCACTCAGACATAACACACACACACACACACACACACACACACACACACACACACACGTTCCTGACAGGCTTATCTTTGGTAGCAGCTTGGAGGGACAAACAGAAGCACTTGCTGCCATGGAGACCAGAAGCACCTGATGAGTTAACACTGACTTAACATCAGCGAACTGAATTAGTCCACCAAGCCCAGAAGATCTCTTACCAAAGCCAACTTCTTGCCCCAATTCCCTCATGCCTGTGCCAGAACAGACACCTCCCACCACTCTCACCACCCTGAGGGAGAAAAATAAAAAAGGAAAAAATAAAATCTAGAACCAGATGCTGCACATGTTGATGGCTCCACTCTGCCTGGGCAAAGAATACTCCACACATTTGGGACAACATTTCTCAACATTCTTGGGAGATCAGCCTCTCTTTGTTCCTGGGTTTTCTCTTGGGACACTGCACCACGCTTCCAGGCAGGCTCATAGACATTGAGAAAGTGAGGACTCACCGAGACGTCACTGATGGCAAGAGCAGAGATCCCCTCCCGGTGGGCAGGCAGGCGGGCCACGTGGGTGAGATGGTCTAGGTCCCACAGGATGCAAGTACAGTCTTGGGAGCCACTCACCAGGAGGCTGAAGGTGACTGATGCTGCCAGGCATGTGACAGCCTGTGTGTGTCCATATAAGGCCTGGGGACAAGAAGCAGACCCACGGATTATGGGAGGGACCCTCAATCTAGGAACCTGGGGAGATTTCCTGCCTTCCCACTTACTGTTGGGCTCCAGATGAGGAAACAGAGATTCAGGGTGATTCCATGATTCCAAAGTCTGTGGTATGTGTGTGCATGTGTTTCCATGTGTGTGTTTGTACATGAGTCTCTGCTGGCCTCTCAGTTCCATCCATTTCTGGGAGTTGAGGCTCAGCCAGGGTGGATCTGCAGCCCTTTTATCATAACTGAAACAGGCCAGCAGCACCCTCACACGCTGTGAGCTCACCTACACTTGGCCTTGCGCATTGAAGCTGCACGTACCACTAGTCACATGCAAGGACACTGATTTACCAAGTGTAGTGTCCCAACCAGGTGCATAAACATCAGCTAGAAATTCAAATGCAAATTCTTGGGCCCTATCCAAGACCGACTGAGTCAGAAACTCTGGGGGCGGGGCTGTGATGAAAACCATGGGTTTTCACAAGCTCTCCAGGAAATTTTCATGCATGCTCCAGTTTGAGCATTACCCCAGGAGAACCTCAGAAACAAACATGCCTCTGCCAACTAAAATGGAAGGAAGGCGGTGGGGTGGCTGTCAGGTCTTCATGAAAAAAGATGTGACTTTTCAAGTCTGATGGATCTGGGTTCATAGCCTGTCTGGCCACGTGGCAGCAGGTGACTCAGGCCCTTGGTCTTGGCCCTCAGGTTGGCCTGTGCTGGGTTTGGCCGGGTTCACAGATGGCTATGTATCCAGATATGGCCAGAGGCCTTGCTCCCCAGGGACACGTGCCGGAGGGGCTGGGGTGGCCTGGTGTTCCCAGGTCCACGGCCGCTGGCCACAGTGTGGTTTCCATCACAGTGGTCCCAGAAGCTGCCAGGTAAGCCTGATCTGAGAGCTGCTGCATCCACACGGGCAGCTGTCTTCTGGAATGAGCCAGAGAAGTGCAGAGATGGCGTTCTGAAATGTGATTACCCTGGCTTACCTAGTGGTAAACCTCCATCCTCAGGACGGATGACTGCTCACTCATTTGGGTCAATGAGTCTGAGCATCATTTTTCAAAGCTGTCACTTTGCCTGGTCACAGCCAGGAAGAGTTCTGCCAGGGATTCCTGTTTGTTTTCGGTAGATCTTTTTTTTCCAACGTTTTTTTTTTAATTTATTTTTGGGACAGAGAGAGACAGAGCATGAACGGGGGAGGGGCAGAGAGAGAGGGAGACACAGAATCGGAAATAGGCTCCAGGCTCTGAGCCATCAGCCCAGAGCCCGACGCGGGGCTCGAACTCACGGACCGCGAGATCGTGACCTGGCTGAAGTCGGAGGCTTAACCGACTGCGCCACCCAGGCGCCCCTGTTTTCGGTAGATCTTAATGTGGCACCAAGCAGATGGGGCTGGCAAGGTTCTGGACGTGACCCACAGAAGATGACTGGGGTCATCTCAGGAAACTGGAAGCTGTCCACATGAAGAGAAAAGCAGAGGATCTGACAGGAGCTCTGATGACTGAGTTCTGACCGTAGGGGGACATGGTGACTCCAAAGAGTGCAAGCCAGGGGATGCTGGACTAAAGGCTGGGGATTCAGAGAGAGAAGCTCTGAGCCCAAGTGTCCCCATATGCTGTCCATTAATGGAGCCATGTCTACTGCTTTGCAAAGGGAGGCACTGGAGAGTGAGGGGGGCCAGTCTGCGTGCAGGCACTGACCACCCGTGTAAGGCTCATTGCCTCTCATCACGAGGCACGTAGCCACCCCCATCTGGAAAGGCTGAGGACATCAGTGAAGGAGGACAGCAGATGTCAATGTGCTGTCTACTGGCTCTTTGTTGGGATGAGCACTGGGTGTTGTATGGAAACCAACTTGACAATAAATTATATTTTTAAATAAATAAATAAATAAATAAATAAGAATACAGTAGTCTCCCTTATCCATGGAGGACATGTTCCAAAACCCTCAGTAGATGCTTGAAACTGTGGGTAGTACCAAACCCTGTGTGTACTGTTTTTTTCCTGTACATACATAGCTATGAAAAAATTTAATTTATAAATTAGGCACAGTAACAGATTAAAAGCAATAACTAGTAATAAAAGAGAACTGTTATAACAACGTACTGCAATAAAAGTTATGTGAGTGTGGCCTCTCTCTCTCAGAATGTGTTACTGGACGCTACTCGTCCTTCCTGTGATGACATGAGGTGAATGTCATAGGCACTGTGACATGGCCCGAGGCTACTAGTGACCTTCTGATGATGAGTCAGAAGGAGGATTATCTGGTTTCAGGGCATGGCTGACCACAGGTGACTGAGACCATGGCACGTGAAACCATGAATCAGGGGGTACTGTCACAGTACCTCTCTACGTGGCCAATTAAAATGACTTCACTGTCATCATGCCTAAATAAAGCAGCAAAAAATAAAGAAAATAAAATACAATAAAACACAATAAAATACAATAAAATACAATACAATAAAATAAAATAAAATAAAATAAAATACAATAAAATAAAATAAAACAAAACAAAAGCCTCTGGAAATAATTGCTCATGCTGGACACTTGTGGTGAGATGGGCACTCTTAATTAATCGCGGTGGCAATGTAAAGTTACAGAACCACTATCGAAAGCACTATGTCCCTGCTTGGTAGTTCTACTTCTTGAAATTTATTTTAAGGCAACGATTAATCAGGAGCAAACAGCAATCTATATAAGCTGTTGTCTGCAACATTATTTAAAATAGTTAAAATTTGGAAGTAATGTAATTGTCTAGTTTGAGGAGAAACGGTTTATTAAACCGTGGCGCACTGACATAACAAAACAATTGAAATGTAATTTTATGGAAATGAAATAATATGGAACAATTGAAATGTAAATTACAGACTGTGGAGAAGCAGAAACAATTTGATAGGCTGGGTGGAAACAGAATAAACATATCTACAAAATGATCAGAATGGTATAAATATGTATAGCTGGGGATGGCAGTATGTGACAATGGAAACTTTTATAGAGATTATAGAGAATCATTCAACTTTGAAGTGAATTTGAAATTTGTCTTTAATGTTGTAATATCTTTAAAAAATGAAACACTTAAAAAAAAAACTGTGTATGAAACTATTTAATGATGTCTTTGCCGGCAAGTCAGGGACAGACCCCCTCACTGAGCAGCTGGTGGTCTGGGGGATCCCCAAGGCCATGTCAGCCACTACAGGTAAATGATAAAGGATTTTATTCTGCGTAGGAAATAAGAGCATGTGGGATTCCCCTTACCTTTTCCTCTTGATTTATAACTAGGAGAGGATGATGAATTACATTTTTATGCTGTCAATACAGGGCTTTTATATAGCACATCTTCATTTTGAAAAGGGACCTGGGAGCGGGAGGCCGCTTCCCCGACTCCCCAAGGCCGGCTCTGCAGTCAGGCTGGATCTAGGGCATCCCTAAAGTGGTGCCTGGGATAAGGGAGCACTCCATAGAGTAATAATAATGTGCGGTCTCTTCACACAGGTCAGGAGTAAGAACGTAGCCCCCTGCCCACAGTCCACGGAAGGAGAAGGAAACCTAGAACAGTGTGAAAAGGTGAAAAGACAGGGCGCTCCGAGGCTGGCTTTGAGAGTCTGGGGAAGGCAGCCTGCACTTGGCCTGCACAGCTCCCTCAGCAGGTGCCACTGCTCCACAGGAGTAATCGGCCCCCTCAGCACTGACCCAGTCGTTCTTTACCTCACGTCTACTGAGTGCGCCTACCTTGCACCACACGTGTACTGCAGGGGGTGGTAGGGTGGTGAGGGGAGGGCTTGAAAAGCATCCAGAGAAACCGCGGAGCAGTTTCAGTGAAACATGTGCGGTTTAGGAAATCTGATCCGTGGTGAGTTTTGTATGATTAATTTTGGTGGTTGTCATCTTGGGTCTATATGGCTAACTACGAATACAGATGTAAAAATGAGCTGCATTTTAGAGTTGGAAGCGTACCCTAGTGGTATTCTGGGCAGGTTCCAGGATGCACAGGCAGGAAGCGTGGGTTTAGAGTTAGATCGACCCAGATTAAAACGCAAACTCGCTCTCTCTGAGCTTCAGTTTCCTTGCGTGAAAGTGGGAATAACGGTGCCGGATTCACCAGACTAAAACGAATGTACAGAGTCTCAAGCAAACAGCGAGTACACTCTGCTTGTTACGAGAGCGGCAGTGATTCCTGAGGCAGGACTGGAAGGAGCCCACTGCCCCCGCCTGCTTCTGCTCTACTCCACTGCTGTTCTGAAATAGCCTTTCAATTTCCGGCTGCACGACGAGTCACTTGACTTCTTCGCACCTGTTTTTTCCACCGGTAAAGTAAGGAGAAGAATAGCACCTAGTTTACAGTGTTGTTGAGAAGGTAAAAGGAGGCCATCCGCACAAGTGCCCACGGCACATGATCAAAAATGTTCTCAAGTGCAAGGAAACTGCTTTCACTGGCTCTGACGCGTAAGCGGCATCTCTCATTGAGGGATGGGTCCCACAGGGCCACCTGCCCTGTGGGCTTGTCAAAACCACCGTGGGCACGAAACCGTGGCCTTCTAACAGCAAACAGCCATGTGCCGTCACCAGTGCCTCTCGGTGTTCTCGGCTCCTGAGGGAGGCAGGGCTTTTGGTGCACAGGGAATTAGATGGCGCTAGGGCACTATACCTGCCTGAGGCACCACACATGCCCCAGGCACGATCTCCACCTGAGGCACCATCCCCGCCTGAGGTAAAATCCCCACCTGAGGTATCGTACCTGCTTGAGGTGCAGGCCTTTCGGGCGGCCTCTGGCTATGCTGAGCTCCCATACACAGACCACCGCACTGGCCCCAGAGGTGATGATCGTTGTGGGGGCTGGGCACACGGTACACAGGCAGCGGCCCCAGGCAGCCAGGTTCTCGAATGTCGTCAGGATCTATGGGAGACAAGTGGGGTGAGCACTGGCGCCCCAGCCAGCACAGGGCCGAGAGCCCGGACAGGGTGACAGAGGGACAAGGGCAGGTCTGGATGCTGCTGGCCTGCTTGTGTGCCGTGGGAACTGCAGGACATGTCATGTGTTCCGGAGGCTGGCACTGGTGACCCAATGCAGGCAATCCAAGCCTGTCCCCAGGGAGCTCATACTCTAGTGAGTGGGGAGACACAAGCGAGCAAGGAGTTAGGGAGACGTTGTAAACACCTGGCTGCCTCATGAAGTGGTAGGGAAGGCTGGGGGTGGCAAGGGAGAGCTCGGTGGGCAGGGAGTTCATGTCATGTGATCGGTGCGTGGGATGTAGGGTGGGAGGGAAGTTGGGCTAGGAAAGGAGGCTGGAGGTGGCCAGGGCCACAGCAAGATGTGAAGTAACTTTGTGGCCTGAGTCAAGGGTAGATGAAGGGCAACCAGACGGCTCGCTTCTGGCGCTGGCTCAATGCTCAGTGAGTGTCCTCGGAGTCTGAGCCGTGAGCAAATGCCAGGGGAACCCCAAGACTCCACACCCAGACTGAGAGTCTGAGTGGCCTCCACGCAGCCAAGTGACCGGCTGGTGGCAGAGACTGCTGTGAAGTGACAGCATGCACTGTGAACTTGTAAGCTCCGCTCCTTAGAATATGGGTTGGAGGCTTGGCCCACAGGGGACCTCAGCCGGGCCGCACAAGCCGTCTCCCTCTCAGGCAGGGGGCACAGGCACAAGGAGGAAGTGGGGCAGCGGTGCGTGCTTTGGACTCGCCCTCTGACTGCTTCTGCCTCAACGGTGACCACCCTGCGCCCCGCCTGCCCGCGTGCCCCATGCCTGCACCCCACACCCGCCCACCTTGTCAGAGCCATAGTTCCCCAGGCAGCAGCTGAAGTCATCAAAGCCCCAGCTGAAGGTCCTGTTCCAGAGCGGAGGCAGCAGCATCTTGTTCTTTTCCACAGCCAGGATGGTCTTCTCGGTAGGGACGATGTGGCCAATGGCTCCTTTGGGGGATTCTGAGCCTAGAGAGAAAAGGTACATATCTACCCCCCAGTTAGTATGGTGGAGCTTACCCGCCAAGGGGCAACACCCCCTTTCTCTGTGCCCAGGGAGGAGCCATGGGCAGGTGACCTGGACTTGGCAAAGCACAAGCCTGGGCAGTAGCCACTTGCTCCTCAAGGCACCTCACTCCAGGGCCTCACTCCAGGGGCTGTGTTAGACCCTGGCCCCGAGCTGGGTCCCCTGGCCCTGGGTTCCTCCCCTGTTTTAGCACATACGTTAAGCTTGCACGTGGCCACAGGTTTTCAGTGTCTCTAAGGGGCTGATATCAGGGGAGGAGTGGCTGAGGCTGTCGGTGCAGGTGGCACAAAGCCACAGGAGCCTTGGGGGGCTCTGCCCTTCCTGTCCCTACCGGACACCTTATCTGGTAGGGATGGGTGTGCCACAGGCACTGTTCTTGGAGTTGAAGGAAAAAAAGGACACACCAAAACCCCCAACAAACCTGGCCTTGTACTCCTTATAGAACTCCAGAATGTTGCCCTTTGTCTTGGGATTTCCCAAAAGCAGTGCATGCCCCAGATGGCCCAGACATCAGACTTCACCCACAGTTTCCCTAAGAAGCAGCAGGGCTGGAACTCACACTGGGCTGTGTGCCCCAGGTCAGCTGCTCCTGGCTAGTGGCTGCAGGCCCGCATGGGTGCTTAGGAGCAACGGTGACTGTGGGTACTAAGGAACAGAGGCTGCAACCCTCCTTCCCCTCGGGAAATCTGGCTTTGGAGGTGAGGAGGGGTGTATGTGTGTGTGTGCAGGAAAGAGAGAGAAAGAAAAAGAAAGAGGTGTGTGTGTATGTGCGCACACACATATATGAAAGAAGGAGGGGAATGTGTGTCTTAGATAGACAGGCAGACAGGTGAGTCTGTCAGGATCTAACAGAGGTGCTTCCGGACACTTCCAGGGCACAGGCCTCCCCAGATTCCTGCTGTGACTAGAGACACAGCCATCCAAAGTCAGACCCCAAGACCCTGAAGGGTCTGCGCCCCTGAGTCTCCAAAGGAACACCAGTCACTAAAGGGACATCTGTGGGACAGGGCGCCAAACAGAGCTGACCAGGTGGTTACCTTTGACTGTGACCTGGGAGGGCCGCAGTGACTGCAGATTGTAGAAAAAGGGCTGTGGGTGGCTGGGGAGGCTCGCAGGTATGACGGCATCCTTTCCGGGTGAAGCCTTCCCTGCAGCGGTCCTGGCTGGGTGGGGTTTCGTAAAGAGCTGGAGAGGCAAGGGGACAGACGTATACCGCACAAGTCATTAGGGACAGACGGCCGGAGGAGTCCTCCCCAGTCAAGCCACAGCAGTACCTCCGCTCTGAGTGCTGCCTGAGCTGGGCTCGCTTCTGACTGAGATAAACAAAAACAGAACTATCTGGTTCAGCCCTCGGATGTTGCTGATGAGGGGCTTGGGCTCAGAGAGGGCCCACTGCTTTCTCCAGGTCATGGTGCGTGACTAGCAGAATTAGCCTTCCTGGCTGCCCAACTGTCATCTTCTCCACGCTGCTTGGGAAAAGGATGACCTCACTGAGGAGCCTTTGGTCCCTGGCAGAGCTGCCTCTCAAATCATGGGTCAGAATGACCCTCTTCTCTCTCTAGATCACATGTCTCTCTTCATTTGCTTGAGCTATTTCTCACATTTTTTTCCCCCTTCCTTTACAAACTCTGCAGGCACGTCCATCTGGACATCAAGACAGAATTCTTTAATAGCATCCATTCAAACGTTCCAAAGAGCACAGGCAAACCCCATTAGTGGCCTTTCTTATTTTCACTTTTCTTAGATCTCTGCTGTCAAAGTGTCCCCAATGCCAAACTTTTTGCATAACCAGGCAAAATATGAAGCCCAAGGCCGTGCTGCTTGGCAGAATCTTGCTGCTGCCACAGAGGGCAGCTGAGGCCAGCTCCGGCTCTCCACCCTCCCCCCTTCCCAACTAGGCTGTTTTTTCCAGCCATCAGGCCCATTCTTCTGCTCCCTGATGGAAACATCTGCTGGGTACCATGATGGAGGTGTGACGGTGGGCTGCAGGTGGACACACGGGTAGAAGTGAGGTTCAGCAGGCAGCTGGGAGGGGTCTCACAGCAGCCTAGGCTCAGTTACAGCCTTTAATCAAATACTGGACTACCTAGTAAAGCTGGGTGGGTGATCAATACAAACGGAGATCAGAATGATGATTTCTAAAGGAGCATTAAATAAAGAACATCCTTTCTTTCCCAACAGAATGACTAAAGCATCGCAGGCCCAGTGCCTGTAATAACTTCAGCAGGCACAGTGCCTTGATGACACAGTGCATGGTCCTGAAGTCTTTTAATCTTGTCTCTAGGTTGGGACCACTGGAAGAATTCTAATTCTGACGATTACTTAGAAATATCTTTTTTTAAAGCTCATCCGATACCTAAGTAAAATCAGAATCTAAAATCGTGTCCATTCCGTGATCACACTGATGTGAAAATATTTTTGCGTGGGGACAAGAACTGTGAGAATGCAACCCAGGACACAATTGGATGGTGGTAGCTACTACTTTGAATTATTTAATTGCTTTATCTGTAGTATTAGGCTACCCAAGCTTCTTTCTTGAAATTCTCTCCTTCCTACAAAGCCTTCCCTGGCCGAACCCACATTTGGATGTGCTGTTCATTCTCCAAGTCACCCCTTGGGCACTTCTCACACTCCCCTCACCTGGGAGCTGAGCAAACTTGGAGCATGTCACGTAAGACCAGGTAGAAAAGATGTTACTAGTTTTGCACTGTTGAGATGAGCCCGTCCAAGCCTCATGATTACATATGGAGAAGGCTGTTGCCCAAGATGGCCCTGGAATTGGCTGGGCTTATGCACTCACTTCCCAGCATGGCTCCTGAATGTCCATCCAGGCTGAGAGCCCAGCCCATGGGGCCATGATAATAGCCCAGATGGCCGTACTTAGGAATGAAAGTTCTCCACATTGCACTGAGGCTTGAGGATCAATGGGGCCGGGATCAGTTAAATAAGTGTTTCTCTTGCACACCATTCACCAGGATGTCACCATGAGCCCATAGCCTCACGTTGCTAGATGACTACCTGATGGGGGGTGGAGCCAGTGGAGCGAAAGGCCCACATGAGACCCCTGCAATTTCACCAGAGGCCCCGAGGGCAGAACTTAGATACTGTCACACTGTTGGCAATATGGCTTTGGGGCTAACCAGACGGGGCTAGAACTCTACCTCTGTCATCTGCTAATGTGCAATCGTAGGCCAGTTATTTATTTAGACTCTCTGAGCCTCAGCTTCCTGATCTGTAAAAGAATAATTTCTAGGGGCGCCTGGGTGGCGCAGTTGGTTAAGCGTCCGACTTCAGCCAGGTCACAATCTCGCGGTCCGTGAGTTCAAGCCCCGCGTCGGGCTCTGGGCTGATGGCTCAGAGCCTGGAGCCTGTTTCCGATTCTGTGTCTCCCTCTCTCTCTGCCCCTCCCCCGTTCATGCTCTGTCTCTCTCTGTCCCAAAAATAAATAAAAACATTGAAAAAAAAATTAAAAAAAAAAAAAGAATAATTTCTATACCCAGAGCTTATGAGGGGATTCAATGAGGGAATCACACTAATGTCTACCATTTGTTGAGTGCCCATTATATTTCAGGTGTTTCAAGCACTTGATGTCTTAATTCATTGGCTCTCCACAACAGCTCTGAGGCTAGACACACATATAAAAAATTAAATCCTGTGGATTTATTGTAGTGTCTGTTACATATATCACAGGCAAATGGAGTGTTCACTGTATCGTTAATGATGTCATCACCTTCATCAACACCAGATGGTAACAGAGGGCTAAGCCCCAATACTGAGGAGTGTAGGAAGACCTTTTCCCATCCCCAGCCCTCTCTCTTGTTCCTATCCAGGAGAAAATGTCCTCACTATCACTTCAAAGCTTACAGTGCATACACTCTTCTGAGAAAGCAAGACTAACGACACGGATACTGTACCTGTTTGGGTACCTGTCCAAAGTTGCTGACAAACCCCAGGATGGTGCTCCTGATCAAAGGGTCACTGATGCTGCTGAGGTCCATTCTGTCACCATAGAAGTAGGGGTGGAAGGTATTAACAGCTTCTACCGCGGCTGACCCCTGCTGCTTGTACCCAAAAATGAGGTCTATCCAGTGGTGGAGGTTGGCACTGACAAAGTCACTTTCCAGAGCCTGGAACCAAAACCCAAAGAGCATGAAAAATGCAGGTCTCCCTTGGACTTGTGAGCCCTCTGCACAGATCAGGAGGGCACAGATGCATCAGGATGCTGGCTCTGCACAGGAAAGATGTGACATCTCCCAGAGTTTGAGGAGCACTAAGTGGGCAGACATACAGGCCACCCAAGGACCACCCAATTCCTGCCTCCAGCTAGTGGGAAAACAGATCTAACTGTTCCCAATCACCTAGCGCATTCACTCTATGATATAACCAGGAGGCGCAGAATACCTGTCTTGCATTGATATCTAAATGGAAGAGACCAGACTGAAAATAAGTCTTGGGGTCCTGTTGATCTCGATATAAGAAAAAGGGAGAGCTGATTCTGACCAGAGATGTCAGGAGTTTGAAACTAAGTATAGCAGGTAGGCGAACATGCTCTGGAGCACATTGGACCCCAGCACTGCCATAGATATTCCTTCACGTCTATGTCCTCAGTTTCTTCATCTTCTTCTTCTAAAAAATGGGGACAAGAACTGTACTTTCTCTGTGGAATTATGTGAGGTTTGGTTTGTGTCCATGGCTGGTGCACAGCGAGCTCCATGTAATAATGTTGACTGCAGTGATGGCACTGAGCACCTACAAGGTGCCAGGCACTGGCTTGGGGTTTGATGTGTATTGTCTCTTCCTGTCAACACCACCTTTCATTGGTAGATGTCATTACCCCACTTCTGGGGCAGGTTCAGGTGTGGTTTTTGAACCTACTGTCTCAGTCCCCGACTCCCAGACCTCAGAACCCCACAGGGGATATCCAACCTCACTGAGCACATCTCACTGCACCCAAGTACCTAGAAATTATTGACATATTGGGTATGAGGCTCTTTCTCAATCATGTCTGGAAAGAAAAGGATAGAATCTACCTTTGAGAGACAACTCAGTCCCCAGGAATGTGAGCTTCCCTGACTGGGGCACTTCTGTCCAGTCCAAAGCATGCAATGGGCAAGAGCATTTCATCCACACACCTAAAGGGTAAGTCTATGATGACCTTGAGGAACATCTGCCCATCTGTAGCCTTCCCATCTCCAAGGAAGATGGACAGAAGAGTTTCCAGACTCAGCCATGAAGAATTACTCTGAGCTTACATCCTCTGAATGGGACCTAAACCTCAGCCCACTCAGGAACATGGCTCCTGTTGAAAGTCAGCAATATCTCTCTTCAACTAAAGGTGCCATCTGATAGGAAGCACAAAGAAGTTTAGCAGGGGAGCCCAAGCATGCTCCATCCTGCATGGGTACAGCCCAGATGAATGATGCCAGCTCAGATTAGGGCACCCAGGTTGGCAATATTCCTCAACAGTTGCCACACATGAGCAAGAGGAAATGTGGGCCAGTGTGTAGATTTTCCAGTTCACCTGAAAGATGGCACTTTTATCTAAGCAGAGCCCAACTTCAGGGCTGGGTCCCCAGACCCAAAGCCATTCGTTTGGGATTGTCTAAGCACCCCTTCGTTGATCCTCTGGGTGGACATGCCACATTAGTTTTCTGAGGTATATGGCCAAAGTGGCTTCAAAAAGGCCACAGGCCAGGACATCCGACCTTTCCTCTGGACATTTTTTCCTATCACTATAACCAACACATAGCTCATATCTTTAAGCTCTTCTAGAGCATCCTTTCCACCTCCTTTCTTTAGATGAAGCCTGGCTCTCCCCAAGATTCCAGTGGTAGCTGCTTGCTGAGTTACATGCCATGTGTCTTGGGGCCCGGAGGTGGTGTTGGTGTCCTCCCTGATCCACATCGCCACCTGCGGACCATTTTTCCTCTACCTTCTTGCTAAAAGAACAATCTGCTCCTCTGTGGTTTACGAAATTGAACTCTGCCCCCCTCCTCATCATCACTGCTGCCATCTGCCAACTCTTTGTCTCACTTATCAAACATGGTGACTCCTGGTCATGCCCTCCCTTCTTCTCCCTCACTGATTTCCACGTTTCACATCTCAGTTCCTTAAGTGATACTTCTCCAATGACTTTGCCTCCACTCCTAAAGCTACCTACTCCTACAGACACATCTTAACTCATGCCAGTATCCATAAGTGCTCTCTCTTCAGAATCTCTCATTCAAACATCCCTGTTGGTGAAAGCCACCTCTTCGCCTTGCTGATCATTTAACTACTCCCTAAGACTATTCTTCTGCTTTGTCAAAACTTCTAGTCTCCTCACCCTTTTACTTCTTTGCAATCTATCAACACTCCCTTATCTTCAGCAACACCTTGATGCAGCTTAGATTTAGCAGTTTATCATTTCAATAACATTCTGCTCAATGCATCTTGTTATGCTATTGAATTGTGTGTACTGTCTTTTCGCAGCACTCTGAACCAACTCAAATATTTTCTGTCTTCGTGCTTACACCAGAGTATCATCACACAAGAGGGCACACTGATTATCCCATAATCTTTGGTCACCAATTTCAAATGGACACTGAACATTGCCAGAAAACCGAGGAATGTTTCTCTAGTCAACTCATGCTTAATCACTCAAGATGACTAGTTCACATTTCCTACTCTCTCCTTACCTCTGACTCTCTTCCACTGTCTGTTTTCAGCCACCGGCCATACCTCCTACTTTCCAGAGAAAAGCACAGATACCAGTTGGAAATTCCCACATCTTTGTGACAATACATATAAACTAACTTTCATCTGCAACCCCTGACTGCCTTCCCTACTTAACTCAGGAATCTGACCCACCTTTTATCTAAAGCTAACCCTCTACCTGTGGTTTGTATTCCAAATACTCCTGCTTTCTCAAGAATGTATTATTCCTTTCCTTATACATCCAACCTCTCTTTCCCACTACCTTTTAAACTTGCTTCTTAAAATAAAAAAAAAAAAAAGAAAACCATAATATTTCCTCAACTTTCCATCTCCTCCAGGTACTATTCTCTGTCTTTATTCTCTCCTTCACAACGAGGGTTTTCATTACCCAACCTTATCATTTCTGTTTCCTTATTATCATTCATTTCCTCTATTTCTTCACATGGACTTGAGTTACTGTCTTTTATTTTAGGATAAAGAACTCCTTTTAGTATTTCTTGTAGGGAAGATCTGCTAGTTATAAATTCTTTTAGTTTTATTTATCTGTGAATGTCTTAATTTCTTCATTTGTGAAGAATAGTTTTGCTGGCTATAAAATTCTTGGCTGATAGTCTTCGAGCACTTTGACTATTTCATACCACTGCTTTCTTGCCTCTATGGTTTCTGATGAAATATTAACTGTTAATCTTGTCAAAGATATCTTGTAAGTCATGAATGCTTTGTTGCTTTCAAGACTCTTCCTTTGACTTTCCTTTTCAAAAGTTTGATTATGATGTGTTTAAGTGCAGATCTCTTTGAGTTTATCCTACTTGGAATTTATTGAGTGTCTTGGATGTATAAATTAATACTTTGCATCAAAACTGGGATGTTTCTGAACATTATTTCTTCAAATATTCTTTGTGCCCCTTTGTCTCCTCTCTTTCTGGTACTTCCATTTTGGGTATGTTGGTGTTCTACAGGTGCCTAGGCTCTGTTCATTTTTCTTCGTAATCTCCTCCTGTTCCCCATACTGGATAATCCCAATTGATCTATCTTCCAAGTTTGTTGATTCTTTCTTCTACCTGCTATTGATCCCTTCTAGTGAATTTGTCATCTCAGTTACTGTGCTTTTCATCTCCACAATTCCTATTTGGTTCCTCTGCACAATTTCTATGTCTTTATTTATATTTTCATCATAGTCATACTTTCCTTTAGGTCTTTAAATGTGGTTTTAATTATTTGAACATATTTACAATAGCTGATTGAAAATCTTTGTCTAAGAAGTCCAAAGTTTAGGCTTCCTCAGGGACAGTTTCTGTTGACTGCTTTTTTTCCCCTCTGTATGGGTCACACTTTCCTTTTCTTTGTATGTCTCATAATTTTTATGGAAAACTGAACATTTTAGATAATATGATGTGTCAACTCTGGAAATCAGATGTTCCCCTTTCCCCAGGGTTTGTTGCTATTGTTACTGTTTGTTGTTGTTTGTTTAGTGACTTTACTGAACTAGTTCTATAAAGTCTGGGTTTTTTTGTTGGTGGTGGTGTAGATGGCCACTAACATCTCTGCTCTGTTAGTTTAATGGTCATCTTATGACTGGATAAAGATTTCTTTAAATGCCTAGAACCAGTAAGTCTTACAGTCTTTGTCCAGGGAGGGGCTCTGTGTGCATGCTAGGGCATGGCTTCAGAGCCAGCAGCTGCCTGGCAAACACTGCCTTTACCTCTCATATCCTGCTTGCACGGAGCCTCAGTGCTGGCCAGAAGTGAAGCCTAGGCCCTTCGAAGCATGAACACAGCCTTATGCATGAAAACGTCCCTACGAATGTGTGTGTTCTTCTAGGTTCCAGGAATATTTTGAAGTTTTTTCAAGGCCTCCTATAAAGACCTCATTCCCTAGTTTTTCCACTTAGGTTTTTTTGGTTAGCTTATTGTTTGCCCAATTATATCCACTGCCTCTGGAAGCAAGAGTGTTAAACAATTGTCTCTGGTTTCTTTTTTCACAAACGCCACTAAAGTAAAGGCTTTTGCATTATGCGGGCTCTGAGGTCAAATAAAGACAGCCTTGCTGGTGGGGTCTTTCAGGGAACCATTGACAGGTCAAATAATGACAGTTCTCTGGGTGTGGGGTTTTGAAGGAGCACCAACTTCATTCTTCCCCCTCCAATGGACTCCTAGGCTGTTGGCTTCCACTTTATTGTGGGCTATTGGTTTTCAAGGCTACTATGAAGCTGAAGAGGAGAAATGAGAATAGTGTTAAGTTAAAACATCCAAAGCTTGCTATTCTTACAAAGATTCAGTCATTTTTCTCCTCAAAGGAATACTCTCCTGATCTTTCCAAGCTTCTGGTTAATTTCAAAGGTTCTGAAAAGTTTGTTGTGACAATCTTTGCCATGATTCTTATTGCTTTTATGGAGTAAAAGATTTTCAGAGATTCCTACTCTGATGTTTTCAATGACATTGATCGTTAACATCCTAACCCACTCTAATTTAATCTTTACTCCACCAAAAGAGGTCTCCCCCTTGTTGTTACCACCCAGATCCCCTGGGTCACACCTCTAATCTACATCTGATGGCACTTAATGTCTATCCTGTGTAGCACTTTGTGAAGTTATAATTTCCCTCTTATTCGTGTGGTTATTTAATCAAGCTGTCTCCCCACTAGACTATTAGCATCTGCAGTCGGGCCTGTAGAGTGAACCTGCTCACTCCCTCCAAGCCAATAACTTTTCTGAGAACATCTTAGCAGAGGGCTGCTGCCACCTAAAGGTCAAGTTCATTTCTGGTCCAACTACGCAAGACCAGTGACTTGTGGGATAGATGACTACCATTACTAAATTTCCGGAGGCAAGGATAAACCAGGGAAGAACTTTCTCTTGGCCAAGGGAGAAGGAGAGAGGAAAAGGTGTGGCTTTGTTGTTACCAGTCAGGCCCACCACAGATTCTTTTTTTCTTTTTAAGTACAATTTACCCGCAATAAATTTCACCCGTTTTATACAGACCGCTCAATGTGTTCTGACAAATGCATTCAATCATGTAACTACCACCATAACCAAGATATAGGACCTTTACATCAATTCTAAATGTTCTCTTGTACTCCTTTTCCATCGTTCCCTGCTCCAGAGCCCAGAACACAAGCTTTTTCCTGTTAACCTGGAGCATGGAGCCTAGCACATTCTTTGAGCTCTCTAGACCTAAGAGCCCCAGAAGTGCTTGTCATTAGCCCCCTGCTTGCAAAGAAAGCCTCCGTGGAGATTGAGAGGATACTGTGGTCTTTATTCAGGATTCCAGGGGTTCTGGTGTGACCCTGGTCAACTCACCTGTCTGTGCAGGCTGATGAATTTCCGAGGGTCTCCATCAGCCCAGGGAGGGAGTTGCACGTCCCCCAGGGCTGTCCCATCCTGCATGCAGCCTGAGTGGGGTGAGAAACAACAGGACTTTGGGTAAATGGGAGCCCGAACTGGGCTAACAACCAGGGGATACACACACTGTGCTGTTCAGGACTGCTGATTCCACGTAGATCGGTCCTGCACAGGCCTTACTGCTTCCTGCTTCTTCTGTCTGTGTGTCCCCACCCTTATCTGCTTGGAATATTCCTTCTTGGTCTCCAAGACCTCAGCCATCCATAAGACCCTCCTTGCTTCCCAGACAGGTTTGTGCGTGATTCACAAGTCCTATAAAATGACAGTAGTGTCGTCATTGTATGTCTTCCTTCCTGCTACTCTGTACCTTTTCATCTGGGCGCTTTTTATCCATTGCTAAAACAGTAAGGAGATCATAACAATAACAGTAAAAGCTATCGTATTTTGAGCACCTCACTATTCCAGGGCACTATGCTAGGTGCTTGGCACACATCATCTTATTGAATCTTCATTTAACGTTATAATTTATGCATTTTCTCTCCATTTTTAAAGTGAGGACAGCAAGGTTTTTTAGAGGCAGCTTCCCCAGACATTAGAAAGAGGAGTCTGGATCCAAGCCCAAGTCTCTCTCCTACCCATTAGCTGCACAACCTTGAGCGTGTTGCTTGACCTCTTTGGGACTCACTTTTCCTACCTGTAACCAAACCTCCCCCCCCCCTCCACCCAAGGCTGGTAGAGAAATGCTCACAATGTGCTCAGAAAAACTCCAGGCATACGATGGTCGCCCAGTAAACATTAGTTATGGTCTTGCTTAAACCCTGCAGGGCCTTCACAGTGCAACCAGAATAAAACCTTCTCCTCCTCTCTCTGGCCTACAGATTTGTGCCTGACGTGGCTTTTCTTACCATCAGTCTCAGCTCACCTGTCATCAACTCAGGCGGTCCTTCCTGGGGCCCAGCATAACAAGGGGCCCTCTGAGTCACTCTTGAACCATTTTCCTACCTCGTTTCCTCGTAAAAATTCTCAGCATCAGACAGTATTTCGCTTCCTTATTTGTCTATATTTTCTATCCCTTCCTTCATCCCCGTACAGAATGTAAACACCTTCAGGACAATCTGTCCCAGGAGGCCCAACTAAATCCCCAATGCCTGAAAAAGTTTCTGCATACAGTAGGTGCTCAATAGCCCCTTGTTCCTGACTTCCCTGAGGACACCTGGTCATTGGCACATGTGTCATTTTGGCAGCTGAGCTCCTGTCCGTCTCTGCAGAGAGCCTCATCTTCCTCTCCAGGGCAGGAGTGGTGCTGTCCCTCGAGCACCGTCCTCACCCCAGGCTGGCTTCCGTCCCTGACTGACTCCTTTCGTGGGCCTCCCCACATCTTGTGGGAAATGCCCTTCGTGTCTGTCAGGGTCTCATCCCAGATGCAGGTGAGACATCTGAGACTCTGAACACTGCTCAGGCCACCAAGTCCCACGGGGTCCAACTTGCTGAATGTAGGCTTGGGCTGGGCACGTTTTCAATGCCCCACAGGTATTCTGGCCCCAAAACACAGCAGAAGAGGTGAGTACCCAGGGCAGTGGCCGCATCTCGCCCTCGCCCACCGCCCCCCCACCCCGCCCCCCGGCATCCGCCCCTGCCCTGGCTCGAGGTGCATGCCCCTGTGTGCTGTTTGGAGGAAGGAGGGTCCGAGGAAGGGGACCTCCGGAGCACAGGCGTGTGCTCGTGACAGTTCGCTAGTGCCCTCCACAGGGGGAGTGACCCCATCATTTTTCCTCTGTGGGGAGAGTCGCCCACCCCCTGCCCCGGGCTCTGACCACACGTCCCCTTCCACAAGTCACCCTTATATCTGCAGCAGAGCTCTCCCAAGGTACACACACAGTCACCGGGGGCCTGCTCGCTGGGGCTTCCTGAAATTTTTGTTACTCTTCTGAACCAGTAAGTGAGAAGGCATAGTTCATCCTGGGGTGGGGCCCGAAGCACAGGAAAGAGGAGAAGCCACCAGCATCCCCATACAACCACCCTTACATGCCATCTAGCAAGAAATCCGTCCCAGGAGGCCCAGCTTCTCTGGGTCCAACTCACGGAGTCCAGGGTAACCCATTTGTGGGCCACAGAGGAAAACAGGGACACAGAGGGGTGGAGGCTTGCCCAAGGTCACGTAGTAGGGCAGTGCTAGAACTGGCTGTTAGCAGGGCATCTCGCTGTAGCCTGAGGCCTGGGGACACCCCACAGGAAGGATCGTGAGTGGGCCAGGGTTCAGAGCAGCCTGGGGCCCAGAGTCCTTCCTTGGTTCCCACCTCGCCTTCGAGTGCTGCCATGGAGGGGAGACCTCACAACAACCACACTGGTCTGGTGAAGGACCTGTTCGTCTAGTTGCTCAGCAAAGATATTGATGAAATTAGTCATTACTGATGAGCTTCAGGGGAGCGATCCCTGCACTGCCCAGCCCACCCTGGCCACACCCCGGCCTCCACTCACCGAACTCCACAGCATTGCAGTTGACTAGGAACTCGGGGAGGTAGAAGAACTCTGGAGTCAGCTCCCTGACGTCACTCATGTTCTCTCTGGAGGCCGACTCCCACGCGTTCTGTACGCTGTGGAACATTCTGTCTGCCACATCAAAGCTTCCACCCTGCGAGGAAAAGGGGCCAACGTGATCACTGGTGTGCAGTGAGAACTCAGACTGTGTGGGCACCGCCTGTGTGTGCCTCACTCGTCTGCTCTGCCACTGAGGCACAGGTTCCGCCATGGGAGCTTTCTTTCCTTTCACGTTCATGCATGTTTGTTCAACCATCCTTGCATGCGTCCCATGGGTTCGTCGTGCACCTATTCACTCAGCCATTCTCCGGACCCTTGCACAACAGGCTTCCCCAGAGCTGGGCTCAGATCAGAGACAGGAAAACTGGGGTCTTTCATCTGCCCATTCCCCACATTTGCAAAGGGCCCATTCTGAATCAGGCACAGACAGGATACAAACACCCCACTACACCCCAGAGAGGGGGCCAGCCATACCATGTGGGGATTCCAAGGTTCCTGGAGGAGCTGACCCCTGGTGAGTTTGCAAGCCTGGTGAGAGAGAAGACGGCAGAGTGTTCCGGGCAGAGAGGCAAGGCCAAGGCCAGGAGAAGCAGAAGAAAGCAGGCTAGGTCAGGGCCCTGCTGACATCTAACAAAGCAGCCCGACAAGAGACAACAGGTCTGAGGATGAAGAGCTGGAGGCACACCAGCCTCCCAGAGACAGGAAGCCGGTCCGTGAAGTCAAGATGTCTGTATGCTCTCCACGGCCAGCCCTGGTTCGAAGGCCCATTTCCACAGGTGGCCTGATGCATCCCAGCCTTGGAAACTAGCATTGGACCAGGAAGACTTAAAGCAAATTCTTTCCTTGGATTCCCTGCTCTTCTCACCTGAATCATTAAATCTCTTTAGTTGATGTTACCCCTATTTACCAGGTGGCCTTGGGGCTGGGAAGAGGAAGAACGTCCAGGCTTTGTGTCTCCTGAAGTTTAGGGTCACCCCAAAAACACCTCCCTGGGATTGAATAGTTCACTTGTCCCCATCAAGCTGGGCCTTTGTTCAACCAGAACTCCTCCTCCTTCTGCCAACTTCTACAGAGTTCTTGTGGCCCAAGAACAAACGGGTAGAACCCAGAAGGACGGTGCCCTCCTGTGCCCCCATCAGCTCCCTTCACTTCTCAGAGGCTGAGGTTTCTTGTCAGCATTTACCTAGGGAAGCTTTTGGGTAAGCAGCTACAGCAGTGGACGAAGGGTAAAGACGGGCCAAAGCTTTCTCTTGGCAAGTCTACTCTATGTTAGGTCCTTTATACAAACAGAGAGGATGGTTCTTAATCTTCATAGCAGGTGTATGAGGAAGGAATTGTACTTCCATTTTGCAGACCAGAAAACTGAGACTCCTGAAAGTTTACTGGTTTTCCCAAGGCTATCAAAGCAATGAATGGCAGAACCAGGTCAAACCCATGGATGCAAACACCAGAGGATATACTTTCTTTGCCCTTGTGTCAGTTTATTGGGGGAATCCCTGGGTCTGGGGCAAACGTGATCTACGACGTGTGGGGCAAGGGGCCTCAGCTCCTTCTGCAAAGGGACAGTCTGCCACATGCCTGAAGCAGGCCACACGTGGGCATCTTGGTGGTCTGGTCGGTTTTCCGAGTCATACCTGAGGATCCATTGAGATCCATGGGTCATTCTCTGCACGTGGACAGGGACACCGAGAAAGCCAGTTGCCCCTGGAGTCGCAATTGAACACAGTACCTGGGCAGCTTAAGGACATGGCTTTTCTCCAAGGTCACTTTGCTCTTGGTGGACGTTAGGGGATGGTGCCCACCATCAGATTCAAATTGAAATGGAAACAAAATAGGGGGAGAGCTTTTAAATAAATCTGCACCTAACAAGTCGCTCATTGAAACATATTAAGAGCTTCGTATATTTAATCTGCAGCCCGAGTCTTAACATCTGCAGGAGATTGATGCCTTCTCGTCCTCCTGTATTCCTTTTGCAGCTTTTATGAGTGCTGATGGTAATCTCCTGAGAAACAATATGATTTGGTAATAAAAAGATTACCTGTATTAAATAAAAATAATATATACATAGGAAATATTGTTAGTGCTACAAATCTGGTTAAAGATATTACCACAAAGAAAAATGTTATTTTTTTCACAGCTGTCTAATGCATTTTAGCAAAAGTAATATCTTTAAAACTTAAGCCTGTATTATTTATAAAGGAAGCAATAACTGATTTTCCTATTTCCTATATTAATAAATGCATTTGCATACATTTGTTTCAAAATTAATGGGTTTTCTCCCCTGTGCAATACAAAAGAAATGCCAAATTCCCTAGAAGAAAAAGTACAGCTGCTTTGTTTCTTGTACTATAAGTCTGTGGGTTGATACAAACTCTGGTGGCTTCCAGCAATGAGTCCCAGCCAGGACTAGGTTTTCAGGAAAGGAAGGAAGGAGAAAAGGAAGAGAAGGTAGCAAAAAGGAAGGGAGAGAAGCAGCGAGGCAGAGAGGCACCATGAAGTTCTACAGAGTGCCGCCATCAGGAAAGCCCAAAACAAAATAAAATAAAACCACAACAAAATTAAGTCTAGAGATTGGATGGAAACAAAAGGATGAGAGAGAATTACTGTGCTAAGATTTGCTCCTAAATCGATTCTGCAGATACTCTTGAATATCAAGAACAATGAATCCTATGTGTATCCAACATACTGAAAAAAACAATAGTAAGATTATAATTATCTATGAAGGAACAGCCTCTAACATTGGCAGAAGACTTTTCCCATGTGACTTTAAAGCTAGAAGGCAAGGCAGCCAAGGCTGGAGGTTTCGGAGGCAAAAGGTACAGGCTTTGGATTTTATGTCCAACTGATATCACTCCTTCATGAAGATGCCAGAAAGATATTCTAAATATTTAAAGGGCTCAAAAACAATATCACCCTAGGTATCTTTCCTCAATTAAAATACGTCAAGAGGTGCAAAATTTTGCTACCCAGGACGAATCAAAATCAAAAACAAAATAATGGGGAGAGAAAGGAACAATAAGGACTTCTGCTGGAAATGGACATGATTTAAAATTAGAAGTCCATGATTATGATACGTCTATTAAAACTGGAAACAGTCTTGAAAGGAGTGTTCCTTGTGTGTGAGACCAGGAAGTCTGTGTGCACCTGTGTCCCAGGGTAAGCATTTCAATAGCTACATTCTTAAATTTTCCAGTCTGCACAGGGAAACTCTGTTGCAAAATAACCATTCAACTCTTGACCAACACCCTCAGGAAGTTCAGCAATTACATGCACTCAAGGATACTTACCCACGGGTATTTGTACGTGATAGAAAGTCTATTCTTCCTTTCCCATGGGACTGACCCAAATCAACCCACTGCCACATCCAAATGATGGGACTGGTTTTATGAGCTGGCTGACAACCCATTCTCGTGACAGATGTTCTTTCCAGTAATTTAAAAGTGTCCCATGTAAACAAATCACTTACAGGATGCTGTGTGCACATCAGTTGATCTAAGCAGCTGTCCTTTGTCCATCAAAGGGGCAGTGTGCAGCAAGTGAAGAGAGCACCCTAGCTGTGGAACCAGGCAGACTTGCCTGGAATTTCAGCATTACTTACACTATGAACACCAGTGAGTTTATCTTATCTTATCTTATCTTATCTTATCTTATCTTATCTTATCTTATCTTATCTTATCTATATTATGGAGAGAGAGAGAGAGAGAGAGAGAAAGAGAGAGAATCCCAAATAGGCTCCATGTCCCAAATGGAAGCCAACGTGGGGATCGATCCCATGACCCTGGGATCATGACCTAAGACAAAATTAAGGGTCGGACACAACTGACTGAACCACCCAGGCACCCCACAGCAGTGAGTTTTTCAAAGTCGTAATGTCTACCACACTCTTCTCCACAACCTTGGGTGACTGTTATAGTTGTGAAGATATGTATGTGTGAGCACATGAGTGTAAGTGTGCGTATGTGTGTGTGAGGTGCCTCCCACAGGGCCAGGGACACAGGAAGAGATGCCCACAGAGCCCCACCCCTACGCCCCTCTCCCTTCACAGACTAGGAACAAAGGAGCAATCCTGGGCTTGGGCCCTGACCTCAGTGTGCTTGGGGAAGGTAACCAGGAGCTCAAAAGAAGAAGAAAAAGACTGTAAAAGTTATTGGAAGCAGAAGGTGGGATATGGGGGAAAGTGAGGAGGGGTGGGATCCTGGGACAGGAGCAGGAGGAAAAGAGCAAGAATATCATCAGGGCAATTTGGAGACACCACCTCCAAAGAAATGCAGGGGTGAATGTGTGCAGTTGAGAGAGAGCTGGGCTTGACCTTCTGCAGGCTGCTTCAGAAAAATGCCAGGCTTGGGGTGCCTGGGTGGCTCATTCAGTTTATGCTCAGGTCAGGCTCAGGTCATGATCTCACAGTTCATGAGTTCGAGCCCCACGACAGGCTCTGTGCTGACAATGTGGAGCCTGCTTCAGATTCTGTGTCTCCCTCTCGCTCTGCCCCTCCCCTGCTTGTGCTCTCCTTCTTTCTCTCTCAAAAAGAAATAAACTTTAACAACAAAAAAAAAGGAAGATGCCAGTCTCTAACACCCCACTCAGTGAGCTGAGCTATAGGTCTGGCGGCGAATTTGGAAAGCCTGTGTACCAGCCGGGCTGCCTCATCAGCCTTGCTCTTGACTGCGGGTGGGCTGACCCCAGAGAAGCCATTAGCTTTTCTTCCTGTAGGATGTGGCTCTTTACTCAATAAAGGCACAAAGGCATTTTGAAAAACCTGCTGCCTACTCTTACAGGGACGAGGGTGGACATATACAAAGCACTTAGAAACAGCCAAATGGGGGGGGCACCCGGGTGGCCCAGTCAGTTAAGCGTCCACCTTCAGCTCAGGTCATGATCTCACGGCTTGCGGGTTCGAGCCCCGCATCGGGCTCTGTGCTGACAGCTCAGAGCCTGGAGCCTGCTTCGGATTCTGTGTTTCCCTCTTTCTCTGCTCCTCTCCTGCCTGTGCCCTCTCTCTAAATAAATAAATATCAAAAAAAAAAAAAAGAAAGAAAAGAAAAAGAAACAGCCAAACGGTTCCCCCGCTGTATCTCCCCTAATTGCTAGCACCTACCATGTCAGAGGTTATTTTAAAGGAGTGGGGGACAGAGGCTCAGTTATTCAACACTACCAATTAGAAAGTTCTAGAGCCAGGACTTTGCCCCAGGTCTGCCTGTCTCTATTACATGTGCCCTTTCTGATGCTCCTTGTTAGGTCAGTATAATGATAATTACACCTTTGTTTTGGACACAAGTGCACCCGGACCCACGGCCCTGCGCCCACGGAGTTCCCAGGTGTTGCTCCCGGGCGGTTCTCTGTTCTCTCTGCAGTTAGCATATGTCTTCCACAAACACCAGCCATCTCGCCTCAGGTGGTTCAGAAAACCCTTCCCCACCGCTGGTAACAGCTGCCTTCACACGGGCTGTGACTTAATTAACACAGCACTTTATTTCAGTTTCTTATTAAATGTAACAGCAGCAGCAGCGGGGCCACTGTGCCCTCGCTGGGGCGTGGCTGCCTTGCTCTGCCCTGCCCGGGCTGGCCTCATCTCGGCCCGGGCGCAACCTGCACTCTCGTCAGGGCATGAACGGGCACGGCCCTGGCGGCAGCATGGCCTCCCGCTTGCTCGACTGTCTGAGGCTCACGGGCACGGGCGCCAGGCGGGTGAGGCGCCCGAGAATGACAGCATCCCAGGAGCCAAGCCCCCAGCTCTGGCAGACAGCGGCGTCATACCTGCAAGGGAGTGGGGTCAGCAGCACACAACTGGCTTGTGGCACCGCCCATCTGCCGTATTTTCTGGATTGTAAGACTCTAGCATTGGAATACCGAGTTTGAGGCAGAAAACCAAACACCAGCAACAGTGAGGAAGGCATCGATTCCAAGGCCAGCCCAAAGTCAGTGAGACGTAAACATGAAGGGAACAAAGCACCCCTCACCCTCAGGGATCAGAATACGCTGCACGGCAGTTCTAGGCTGTGCGGGAGGGCCCTTCCCTCTGCCCACAGCCCCGCGCAGGGGCAGGACACGGAGCCCAAGGAACACGCTGCATCTGCCCCTTGATAGTGCACCAGCCCGCACTGGGGGCAGCGCGTGGACACATGGCTCCCCACACCAGAGGCGTTACCCTCGCCAAGCCATCAAGGGGGCAAGCAAGTCACTCTGGCTTATTCATGCTACTAGGAAGAGGCAGAGTTGGCCTAATGCATAAGGGGGAAGCATGCACCTTCTCATACTGACTTTTGTATGTCCATCTGGCTCTGGAAACGTCCAACATCCTCGGTTCCCTGCCCTCCAGATAAATAAAGAATCGCGCCTGGATTCTGCACCTTCTCTACCTTTCGTAGTCTTCCCTACCCCATGGTCCATGCTGGGGATGGAGGTCTAGGCCACTGAGAATATGATCAGGCTCGTTTACTTGTCACTACACAGGGGTGGAACAAAGGTCTCTTGAGAAGAAATGAGCCTGCCCCTAGGAGGCAGGTAGGCCAGAGGAAACAGCTGGACTTGAGGAAGATGCCAGAACATTCCTAAGGAGGTCTGTGAAGGCCCTAAGATTCCCAAAGGAGAACCAGGTGCACCCCCCCCCCCCCGATGTAGCCTTTCACTCATTCCCTTGGGAGATAAAATTGATCTTTTATTCTAAGGAAAAAGCAGAAGATGGTGGGTTTTTCTTATGACTCACTAGAAGAGGCAGTTAAAAGTAGCACACATGGAGAACCTAAATGATCTCAACTCACATGGGCCAACATGCCACAGATAGATTTGAACCAGGAAAAACCGGGATTCAGATCGGACTTCAACACAAGAGTCAAAGGGCTGAAACTAACATGGCTACATGTGTGCCACCCAAAAGCATATAAAATTGGTTCTATCTTGCACTGGTTTAGACCATCTCAAACAGGTCACCAATGGACCAAATCAGCTTTAAAAAGGTCAAACCAGGGGCACCTGGGTGGCTCAGTAGGCCCTGACTTTGGTTCAGGTCATGATCTCGCGATTGATGTGTTCGAGACCCGCGTCGGCCTCTGTGCTGACAGCTCAGAGCCTGGAGCCTGCTATGGATTCTGCTTCTCCCTCTCTCTCTGTCCCTCCCCTGTTCATGCTCTGTCTCTCTTGCCTCAAAAATAAATGAACATTAAAAAAAACCTTTTTTTAAAAAAAGTCAAACTAGTTGTGACTAACTTCAAAGTGGTCTTAACCCAGTATCTTTGTGGGTTCGCAGCACACCTGTTTCACCTGGCTCATGCCATCTCCGAATGCTTCTATGTGGTCCAGACTGTCTTGAGTTAGCTTAGCCCAGAGGGGACCAGCTTGAACAAGTTCAGGCTTGCTCACACTACATCTGGCTGATTGCAGGGAGAAGAAGGGAAGTAACAGTGATTGATCACCTACGTGGTGTCAGGCCCTGAGCTAGGGGCTTTACCCCCATTTCCTTATTCAATCTCAACTGCTCGGGGAGCTGTGCATAATTAACCCTCATTTTCAGGGGTAAAATAACTTGCAGAAGATTCTGTATCTGTTAAGCAGTAGAGCTGGTGTATAAACCTTAGAGCTGACACCTTTTCTATTTCACTGTGCCCCCTCTCCATTGAAAGGACCCTTAGTAACAGGTAGGGATGGGGATTTAGCGCATTAGGCTGAAGGGACAAAAGAAAGCTTTTAAAGCATCCAGAACTGCCTGGAGGGAACGCCGTAAGGGCATGCATCACCATCATCATCGACAGTGATCATCGCTTCTTGTGGATTAATGAGCAACATCTGGATGGGATTCCTGGCATGGGCTAGAGCTCTGGGACCGTTTGTTCTCCAAACCAAACTTACTTAAAATGCTTGTTGCCTGAGAAAGGCTCAGGGGAAGCACACTTATTATTTTTGAGTGAATTTCCAGGGAGAGGAGGTTATACAATGTCTAGACAATCCATGCCTTTAAGGAGAACGAACACTGAGCCAAGAAACCAGACAGGAGGGATTTTGCTCCTTATGGGAGAAATCACCTTGACCTTGCCTAACCCATTCCTGCCCGGGGCTCAGGAGTTAGATTTAGTGCTGACCCAAGGTAGCCTTTGGTCTCTCAGGGGCAAGGTCACCTGAGCACAAGAGCGACCTTGTTGGTGAGGTCAGACCAAAAACCACAGTTCCTGGAATACTCGTGGTTTCTCTCTGATGAACTTTGCTATCGGAGTAAGTCTGTGCATTTTCAGTGGCCTGCTGCCCACCATGGCTCGAGCCTTCCTCTCCATAGGACACTTGTAAGGCCCGGAGCAGGTGAGGCTTTACACTTGGGCTGTGTGCTGCATTCACTTTGGAGTTGACTGAGCCAGCTGGCTGCAGCTGGGCTACCCAGTGGCTCTCCCCAGTCAAAAACTGTGCCCCTGGGACAACCTGGGAAGCAGGATCCCAGTGATAAGGTCAGAAGGGAAAGGGAGAAAATAAACTTCTCAGCTGCCTGCAAAGGACTCTGTCCCAGCAATCCCACCTGCCTTGGACAGCACCACCCACCGAGAGCCAGACTTGCTCACCTCACGGTGTACAGGGCCACCAAGGAAGACACAAGGAGGCCCAGATATATATTTAAATTGCAGATAAACAACAAATAATTTTTTTAGTAGGAGTCACTTTATCTGAAATTCGAATTTACCTGGGCATCCTGTATTTTTATTTGTGGAGTCTGGCAACCCTAAGCTGGCATGATGAATGATCTATTAGTTTATGGGTGGGTAAGTTGGTTAGTTTCTCTCTGGTTCAGCTACTCTTTATTCAAATGCTTTGTCCTTTTAAGCCTTTCAACCTGTACTTAGCATAGCTGTCTGCATTCTGATGTCACAGTGATATTCTTTTCAGTCTTCCTTCTTTGTGTTTATTTTTCTGAGTTTTGACCACCTACCTTCAAGGAAGTCCTCAAGCTTTCTGCTCTTCCTTTTCCACTAAAACCTACTTATGTTAACTATGTTTTTGCCCATATCTCTCATTCCTTATTTTTAGAGTCTTTTTGCAAGACTATTGGGCAGACATTGCAGGTGTCACTGATAATGAGCAGCCTGCCTTGGTTGGACCGCCCAGAATCCTGGAGCCAGCATCAAGTGGGAGTCACTGGCTGAAGACTGGATTTGTACCAGGGAGATCCCTATTTCACCCAAGCCCAGCTCTTAGTCGGCGAGATATAGGTGTGTGCGTGTGCATGTGTGTAGGGGAGTAGAGGAACTCACCTGCAGAGAGCAGAAGGCCTGGGTATAGGGTGGCATCCGGACCAGGTAGGAGGCGACAATGATGGCCGAGGAGTAGTGAGTGTAGTAGTGACACTGGACGGTCATGTCTCCTGCAATGAAAGGACATGCCTGGGATGGATTTCTCACCTGGACTGGGGCAGACTGCAGACACACAGGCTCTACAGTGCTCAGGCATGAGCAGCGAGCATAAGCCCTGCTCAAGAGAGCACCCGCAGGCCAGTGGAGCCTTGGTTCTGCTCACAGATGTCATTATAATTTGGCCAGGAGCCACCCATGGTGAAAAGCACATTCAAGACCCTCAGCTGCACCCCTCAAGTCCTCAGTGTTCTACTCTCAAGAATGTGGGCAGAGCTAGGCTCTGGGAAGGCGGTAGTCAGGATTCATGGGGAGACAATGCTTTGGTCTTCTGACTTAAGGGGTACCTAGAAAGCCTACGATCCCAGCAGCACAACCAGCAAAGGCCTGAACCAGCTCCCTACAATGACTGCGCAGTCATCTTGCTTCCAGCCCCAGGCCTGGCCTGAAGCCCCCCCTTGTGCTGAGCAGGAGTTCCCTAAGTCACAGTTGTCTGGATGTGGTTGCAGGTCCCAAACCCAAAGGGCAGCTCAAATGCACACCCATAGTGAGATGGGAGAGAACGGGGCCAAAGCCAGTGGGATAGAGTACTCTCCTGGCCTGCTTCTGTGGAAACAACTCAACAACACCTGGCAGTCGGAGGAACAGCAGGGCAAGAAGGGCTTGCCCAACCTTCCACATCCTCCCATCTGCCCCCAGCAAGTCTGAGAGCCGGCCCCATGCGGAGCAGGGGTCCCAGGCAGGCCTCCACAGGCTGTGCAGGATGCAGCAGGAGCCTCCCTCTCCTGCTGAGAATTGCTCACTAAAAGCAGGGCCTCTGGGCCATAAGCCTTTCCAAAGTATGCCACCTCTGGGTCCCAAGGGAACTTGTCATGGTTCCTGGATGGCTGCTTCTTATTTTAAATTACACATTTATTGCAAAGCGTTTGACCAAACCAATGTAGCTAGCATCAAATGCATGGTAGAAAAATTTATTTTTAAAATACATTCAGGGCTCCTGGGTGGCTCAGTCAGTTAAGCATCCAACTCTTGATTTCAGCTTAGGTCATAATCTCACAGTTGGTGAGTTCAAGCCCTGCATCGGGCTCTATGCCTGTTTGGGATTCTCTCTCTCTCTCTCTCTGATACACACACACACACACACACACACACACACACACACACATACACGCACACTCTGTCTCAATAAATAAACTTAAAAAATACATATTCATTGAAGTTTAAGAAGTGAATAGATCTAAGGAAAAAAATTAAGGCAATAGGAGTTCCAGACGCATGTGAATGTGGCGAAAATTGTAAAGGTGGGGGTGCCTGGGTGGCTCAGTCCGTTAAGCGTCTGACTTCGGCTCAGGTCATGATCTCGCAGCCCGTTAGTTCGAGCCTCGTGTCGGGCTCTGTGCTGACAGCTCGGAGCCGGGAGCCTGCTTCGGATTCTGTGTTTCCCTCTCTCTGACCCTCCCCCATTCATGCTCTGTCTCTGTCTCAAAAATAAATAAACATTAAAAATTTTTTTTAAAAATTGTAAAGGTGATATGCAGATGAACAAAGTTTGGGAACTAGGTTCTGGAGCCTAGATACAGGCTCTGCCATTTAGAAGGTGTGATCTTGAACTCATTGCCTGAACTCGCCAAGTTTCAATTCCTTTCTCTTTGAAATGGGCCATTGTATTTCTGCACGTAGGCTGGCCTGTGCCAGGAATATAGAAAGTGCTGAATGGATGCTACCTCCCTCTGCCTCTGCTGGCCCCTGGGTATGGAGGTATCAGCTCTCAGCACAGCAGTTCTCAGTCCTGGCTGCACCTCACCAGAATTTTTAGAGCTGGGGCCCAGACATCAGTATTTTTAACACTCCCCACACCCAGGCCCAGGTGATTCTTCCACACAGCCCAGGTGCAGGCCAGTGGATTCGAGATGTTCTCTAGCCTAACATAATTGTTTCCAGGCTAAGGGACAGCCTAAATAGTTACCAAGGATCATTTCAAAGCATTCAGATGAAAAACACTGCAGAAAAAAGTCAAGCTGGGATCTACCCACCTTCAGTTTTCTCAACTTCTTTAAACCTCTGGATAAATTTCAGCTTCCTTTCCTTGGTCTGAGCCCCCATGGGCCTTGAGAGATCGCGGAAAGTCTTGGGATTCGTCAAGTTCAATGTCTAGAAGGCAGATGTGTGGCTGGAGTTAACTCCCCTCAGACCCTCTTGTGACCCAGCGAGACTTCAGGAGCCACGCTCTTTAGTTTTATGGTTCTCTTTATTGGTTTATTGTCGTTTGGTCTGGCCCCCCTCTGGTGATTAGCAGGCGTGCTGGGGTTTTATGGCCCCAGAGCCAGTGATCCACAAAGACTTAATAGGGGAGAGATGGAAAATAAGAGGAGGGGAAGATTGAGTTCACACTGAACCTGTTCCAAGTTGACCCAAATCAGAACATCGCCACCAGTGACTGAAAAGAGACTTTCAAAGGAATCCCTGTTGTCTATGAGGCTCTTGGCTCCAACCCTCACAGGAGAGCAGGATACTTCCGTAGTTCACAGTCCTTCCTTAGAATCAAATGTATTCTCTAGGAAGTTAGAAGTCCTCTGGAGAGGAGATGTGAGGAACGGCCTCATTTCTTCCAGAGCCCACTCCCTTCCGGGCAGTGAAATGTCGTCCCTTCTCCTGCCCCGGGGAATATAATACAGAGCAGTGGAGACCTGAAGTTTTTAAGGCTAGGTGTCCTTGGAGATGTTTGCTTTCAGCAGAGGTGTTCTATGTGTTAGGAGAGGAACTATGCATTCCCCAGGATTTGCATGTCTTATAGAAAGTGTTTCTTTGAACCTCCTTTCCTTTTCACTAGCAGTGAATCACTGCAGTCCCCCTAAGGAGGCAGGGCCAGTCTCCATCTCACACCTACAGAGCCGGGGGCGGGGGGGGGGGGGGGGGGGGGGGGGGGGGGAGGGCCAAGCGAAGCAGGCACTTCTCAGACCCCTATGACAGATAGATGGCACATGTGGAGACCCATGCCCAGCGACTGCTGATTTTGCCAGGACAGAATGGGGGTTCATAGCCACTAGATCTCCAGATTCTCCAAAAGATAGTGTAAATCCAGATTTTTAGGAGAAACCTCCCAATTATTAAATATGGGTAAGTAATCAAAATTTGGGGCTAAACAAAAGGAGCTCGTAAACCCCCACTTTGCAACATGTGAGTTAAAGCTGGGATTTGCATGTTTCATTTCTGAAATACCTCAGCCCCAAGTGGATCATTAGGGAAATAAAAGGCAACATATGGCTGGTGAGAAAAGTTTTGTGTTAAGTGTCTTAAGCGGGGATGGGAGGTCATAAAAGACTGAGGCTCCCTCTCCCAAAGCCTGGCTATCAGCCATCCAAACAGCCCTAGGCAGGACTGGCCAGGGCTTGCCTGAACCAGGACCCAGCCACCCTCCGTGCTTTAGACACTACAACCCTCTGGACGGCCAGAGCTCAGCTGGTTGGGACAGTGCTTCATCGCCAGGTCGTTCCCAGCAACATCACCTTGGCCCAGCTGTGCGAGCTGTCCTCCTCCCCTCCCTTGCCTGCTGAGGTCCAGGGACACAGACCCGAAGCAGAAATTATCTGGTATTGCCATCAGCCTTACCCAACCCTTTGTGTCTCAAGTCTAGATCCTGGGTAAAATCTACATACCAACATCTCAGTTGCTGAGGTCAGGCTACCAGGCAGTGATTTCTTCTCTTTGGGTCTCTCTCTGTCTCTCTCCTCTCCTCTACCCACACCCCCACCCCCCTGCCCAAATACACATGTTGATTCAAGGAACAAGTTCCATGGCCTACTGCCCTTGAAGGACTAGCGTTGGTCCATGGCAGTGTCTCAGCAGGTGGGGATCAGTTGCCTTGATAGCAGTGAGTCAGCCGGGAAGCCCTCTGGGGCACATGTTAGCAACTGTCCTCATCATGTTGATCATCCCATATGTGGGGTCACCTTCCCACAGGTGGGGCTGGACAGAAACCCAAGCAGCCAGATTCCAAAGGCCTCCTCTGGGGTGAGGGGCCGAGCACAGAGCAGCCCTCAGGGCCAGGTGGACTGAACCTTGCAGTGGGGGCTCTGCGTGCTGATTTAGTATGCTCTGGTCTTCATGGTCAGAAAGCCTCAGGACATTTGAACAGCATCCATGTGAATACTGTACCTGTGAGGTGTAGTCGGCCAGGACCCAGGGAAACACGGGATACTGCATATAGTCATTGTACGTCCTTCCAGCCATGGTGTTGAGGTGCATGAGATACTCAAAATTGCTGATGTCCCTTTTCTACCAGAAGAGACGAAGAAGAGATAAAGCAAACGTGATTGGCATCTTCCTAAGGGCCACGGGAGGTCAATCCCTAGTCTTCTGCAGCCCTCACTGTGTGGGTGAGAGCAGGCAGCACACATGTCCACTGCTCCCCGTGCACCTTCTGCACAAGCCAGGCCCGATCCCAGAGACTGTGCTAATTGCAAAGGGAACTGAAGCAAATATACTCAGGAAGCAAAGTCAACCAGAAAAAAAATATATAGCTCAGCAGTCGCTAGCCCAGGATAAAGCCATCTTTTCAGTTAACTGTTGGGTGTGAAACTCAAAAGTTGATTAAAACAAGAGCACAGATGCTGCGGGTAAACTTACTGCTGGCCTTTTTATGATTTAAAAAAATTAGCTGAGGGGACCTTGCGGTCACAGAGAAAGAAGCCCTCGCTGAGAGGCTGAATGATCGGTCTTCTTCTGGGGATTTAGGGACTTTCTGTTCTGTCCCTGCCTATTGGGATAACACTCATTTTTAGGGCCTTAAAAGGTACAGTCAAGGTGGAATCAGGGACTGTGTTTGGGAAGACTTTACCAAGGCCAGTGGGTGAATGAACTGCCCACCTCTTATTTGGGACCCGCATTCTGTAGTCTCTCTTGGCCCTCTCGTTGGAAAAGGGTTTTGGACAGGAGTGACCAAGCATTCACTTCTTGTTGCCACATGATGTCTAGGACTGGCCTTCTTGGGGCCCCTGTGCCTCTCACGAGAACCAGAGGCCAAATGTGAGTCCATTCAAGCTGGGAATCACATGTGTCTTCTCAGAACAAGAAGTGAACGCGTGTGCCCCTCTAGATTGTGTCCATTTACACATATGTGTATATCTGCATGGGTGGAGCATGCGCGTGCACATGGGACATGTGTACGTGCACACACACACACACACACACACACACACACACACGCACACGTACACTACCCAGCTCTGACTCCAAGCCTCAGGTACCGCTTTTGATCACTGAGATCTTTTGAGGGAAATATTTGGGACATTTTGATAAATTAGAAAATAGGACCCCTCCAACTGCTGGGATCTGAGCTATTTTCTGATTTGCGTGCCCAGAGGGTTTTCCCAGACCTCCGGTCCTCTAAGGGGGTCACTGTACCTGCCACCTCTGTAGCATGGTCCTGTCGGAGCCGGGGTATCGCCTGTGGAACAGAAAACAATAGTGGTGACCAAATATCTCAAGGCATGGATGAGGGGAGAGGTGGCAATTTCTGGGGATCTATGGGGCCAGGAAAGCCACAGACTTCCAGGGCACACAGCAGCTCGCCTGGCAGGATAATAATAACAAGATTATTATCTAAGTTCTTCTTGCCCCCACACCACCCTGTCACTTTGGTTCTGCTGTGATGCTAGAATATTCTACTGCTTTAGTGTGGCCTGTGGAGAAGTCATAGGGCCACGCAGAAGCAGGCTCAGAGGCCTCGCTACCCCACACTAGATTTCCCATGGGCACGTGTCAGCCTTCCTTACCCATGTAAGTATAATATATGTGATTATTATATACTGACATGTGACTATAACTTATGTATATAGTTTTAAAAATGCCAATGATAGGGGCACCTGGGTGGCTCAGTCTTGATCTCAGCTTAGGTCATGATCTCATAGTTCGTGGGATCAAGACCTGCATCGGGCTCTGTGCTGACAGTGCAGAGCCTGCTTGGGATTCTCCCTCTCCCTCGCTCTCTGCCCCTCCCCATTCTCTCTCTCTCTTAAAATCAATAAAATTAAAAAATTAAAATAATACACGGAAGGCCACAAGATGTAAGAGTCTCTGCACTACTGCTCCCACTCAGGAAGCAGCCACAGTTAACAGTTTCCAGAATAGTTTTATCCCATGCCTGTCTATTGCTTACATTGCTTTTATTTTAAGTGTATTTATTTATTTTGAGAGAGAGAGAGAGAGAACACAAGCAGGGGAGGGGCAGAGGAAGAGGGAGAGAGAGGATCTCAAGCAGCCTCCACATTGTCAGTGCAGAGCCCTATGCAGGGCCCAAACTCACGAACCATGAGCTTATGACCTGAGCCAAAATCAAGAGTCAGGAGCTTAACCAACTAAGCCACCCAGGCATGCCCACTATATTTAAAAAAAATTTTTTTAGTGCTTGTTTTTGAGAGAGAGAGAGAGAGAGAGAGAGACAGAGAGACAGAGGGTGAGCAGGGGAGGGGCAGAGAGAGTCAGGGACACAGAATCTGAAGAAGGCTCCAGGCTCTGAGCTGTTTGAGCTCCGATTCAGGGCTCAGACTCACAAACCATGAGATCATGACCTGAGCTGAAGTCCGATGCTTAACCGACTGAGCCACCCAGGTGCCCCTTGTATTTTTTTTAATTGACGATACGTGGATAATCTTATTTGTGCCTTGTCACTGGCTTCCCAACACTGTGTGTAAGGGTTAAATTGTAGTGTAGGGCTAATGCTTAGCTTGAAAAATAACAGCTTTGTGTTGACACTGAAGGTTAAGAGATAACAGCCTTGCTTTGCTCTGGTAAACTACGCCTCATACCCTTGTAAATTAGGCTTCACCAATTAAGGAAACAAAAGTTCAAAAAAAAGAGTGTCAGAGGCAGGGTCAAGGAGATCCACTGGTTGCAACTTAGAGGCAGAAAGTCTAAAGTAAACACCTCATTAGGCAACTGTTTCTAACTCATCTGGAACCTGTTTCTTTGTTCTGTTCCCAGGTGATGATAAAACGATGTGATCGGTTATAAAAACTCTGTACCCCGGCTGTTCGGGGCCGCACTCTTATCAAGAGTGTTGGTCCCGATCGGTCGGCCTTGCCTCTCATTGTAATAAACTTTGTTGTGACTGTCACTGGTGCCCGTAGCATTCTGTTTCAGGAGTCGTGTGGATGCAACATGTGGAGTCACCTCACATTGTTCTGTGGCATTCATTTCTACAGCATCAGGACGCCATTGCACACATGGATCAGAACTGGTTGAGCCTGACTCTGTGGTGGGCTTTGTCCTCACACATGACCTCTCCGTGACCACTTCTGGACATAAATCTCTGCATACTTTGTGAGTGTACCCAAGAGAGAAAGTTTTGGCAGCCGTACTACTGGGATAAAAAGTATGAGCATTTTTTTTTTAAAGTTTGCTACATATTGCCAAATAGTCCTCTTAAAAGCCTGGACTGATTTATGTTTCTACAAATACAATTAGGAAGAAATACAAATTGAACCAAAGAAATACGATTTTGACCAATGTAGGGGGAAAAAGTTTAGATGTGCAACAGGAGGCCGGAGCTGGGAAGGGCGTGGGGAGGAGGCTTTCGCCACATGAAACACCTCTTCTTCTGCACAGCAGGGGTTTGTGGAGCCCGGCTCCTTGGCCTCTGTGGTAAACCTTGGCTCCTCTTCTGGCTCTGATTTCTTCTCCCCTCTGTGTCCTTTAGACTCTCCCTGTACTCTCAAGACCTTGCTCAAGATGTTTCACCAAAGCAAACCAAATAATGTCTCCTCTTTCCAGCCATTCCCTCTTCCTCAGTCCCGTTCAGGTGCCCACAGACACCACATGAATTCTCTGCTCCAGCCCCATGCACTGCACCAGGATCCTTCTGGACAAGGCTGCCCGAGTGCCCCTTCATCTTCCCACCACACACCGCGGCCATCATATACTCTGTTTTAGGCTTCCCAACCCTTTTCATTCAATTCTTTCCTAGCTAGGTGTTTTAGCAACAGAAAGCAACTCCCAGGCTGGGCTTTACCTCTCCTCTTCCACTCCCCATAGAGAAATCATCTTTTTGGTCTGTGTTATCCCTGCAGACAACAATAACAGTGAACAAAAGCAAAACATGGTCGGATTCATTGCTTTAGGTTGCAAAGGCTCAGGCGAAGATTTGGTTCTCTGGCTCAGTCTGTGAGCCTGCCACCTATCCTAGTTCTGGAAGACAGTCTGCCTCGAAGGCTGCAAACACAGGCAGAGCCCAGGCTGGAGACAGTGAGGGTCACCACCTTGAAAAGGACATGTGCTGACCCTTCCTGAGGCAGTGGAGTTACAAGGATGTGGAGTTAGTACGGCCAAGCTTGCTCGTCTTGCTACTGTATTGTGTAAGTTTCACAGGGGGTTGGGGCAGGGAGCAGGAAGAAGGAAACAAAAGGTACTTATTATAGTTCAGGAAATAAGAGACAGCCTCTGTCATTTTCCATTTCACAAAGTGTTCTAGAATTTTACCGGTGGTCTTTTGTGACATTGCCACCAGGTGGAATGGTGTGCAGAAGACAAAGGCATGTCAGTGTCCCATTTCTCATTTCATCGGCTATGAGCTCCAAGGAAGATCCATCATTTCACTGCCATCAGCAAAGGACGCCATTACCCGTGGTGCCAAGACACCTAACCAAAGGTGAGCCATGGTTTTTAGTTTTTTATTTGTTTATGTGCTTGTCTTATGTAGTTGTCTTTTATTTTTCCACTTCTGACTTATTGTTTCATTTAACTTGAGAATTTGTGTATACTCCTACACTGTTTTTTTCTTCTTTTTTAAAATTTTTATATATATTTTTTACTTGAATATAGTTGACACATGATGTTATGTTAGTTTCAGGGGTACAACATAGTGATTCAACATCTGTATACGTTATGCCACACGTGTGGCTGCCGTCCGACCCCATACAACGCTAGTACAATGCCATTGACTGGGTTCCCTACATTGTGCCTTTTATTCTCGTAACTTATTCTTTCCATAAGTGGAAGCCTGTATCTCCCACCCCCTTCACCCACAGACCTAAAAACACCAATAACTGTCAAACGCATTACAGATTGCAAAGACGTTTTACCCGTTGTCTCATTCCCACAAAGACCCCATGTAGTAGCCATTGCTTCCATTTACAGATGAAGAATGGACGTGTGCAGTGAGGGAGTAGCCTGCAGACTAGGGGGAGTTCGTGACAGCTTGCTGGAGCCACCCCAAGCGGACATGGAGCAGGTCCGGTGAATACCCGACACACTCCCGGGATCAGACCTTGACCCAGGGCCCTGACTCGGAAGACAAGCTCTTTCCTCTGAAGGGGAAAAGAAAACAAAAGTAACCAAAAAGCAACAACAACAAAAGCCTTAGTTCTGGCTGACTTAGAAGGCATTTACCTGAAAAACCAGTAATTTGTGTAATTTGAAGTTAAAAATGTAAGCATTAGCAAGGTAGCCAAGTTATTACTGCATACCCATGGCATAAACATGAAGGTGTATGTGTATTAAAAGTGGAAGCATATCCAACAGAAGTTACCTCGAGATGCTGAAATTGAGCGGCTTTACTTTCATAAGGTTTTACAAATCTGCATTGTAAAATGTATTCATCTCCTTCTGTATTTTCTTCCTTAAAATATTGATTTTGGGGCGCCCGGGTAGCTCATTCGGTTAAGTGTCCGGCTTCAGCTCAGGTCATGATCTCGCGGAGCGTGGGTTCCAGCCCCGCATCGGGCTCTGTGCTGACAGCTCAGAGCCTGGAGCCTGCTTTGGATTCGGTCTCCCTTTCTCTCTGCCCGTCCCCCACTCATGCTCGGTCTCCTTCTGTCTCTCGAAAATGAATAAATGTTAAAAATTTAAAAGAAATATTGATTTTGTTTATGCTTATCTGTGTTTTATGATTTTTATATTATTTATTTTCTAATTTAAATGAGGTCCTTTTACGAATAGTCTAACTGGAAATACACTGAGTAGCAGAACTTCAGGTAATTTTTAATTTTCTACTTATCTGCATTTGATAATTATTTTAAACCCATTTATCGTCGAAAGTAAATGATCTTTTTTCTTTTGGTTTTTCAGTAAACAAAACAGTGGTGGTATCCATCTATTTAAAGTTTTTGTGGTTAACTGTATTTTTATTTTAAACTGTTTGATTTTGCTTTTTTGTACTTTTCAAAATGCAGAGTGGTTGGATTAATTTTGCATTTCAATTTTTTATTTGTTAATTATTTTCTTTATTTCTTAGCTTTTTTTGGGTAGCGCAATTTAGAGGATGTTTATTTCTTCATTTCTATGTATGCATTTTCAAATTTTTCTACAATGTTATTATTTGCATAATAGTTTTCATATTTAAACTTGTTGCCAATTTTCTCAATTTCTGGGAATGTAATTTAAAGAAAAAACAAACAAAAAGATTATAAATGTACAAATACATTCATTGCAACCTTATTCACAATAGTGCCA